CTTTTCATTGATTCTAGAGGAAAAGAGTTGTTCAAAGCTTGCTTTGAGTGAACTAATCTTTGCAGCCGTACATTCCATAATTAATACTACTTGTCCCTCGCTCTGGTTTCCTTTTTACCGCGTGCATCGTCTGCAGATTTCTTCACCGAGAGTGAAAGAGACAAACGCTCTACGAGAGCAGTGGATAACGAATATGAACGTTGTCGAGAACTTATGACAGCCCAACTCACTCACTCTCCTCAGCGCTTTCTGTCCTCCCCATAGTCAGGCTTTTCATCGGTGGCACGTCGTAGATCGTAAATCAACGACAGACGCAACTGTTCCATCGGCATCTCGTCCATTTATTCGCATCGCAAAGCGATGGCGACACCAACAATCGCATCGTTTCGCGTTCGCCTCTGACGGCGCGCACTGTCACCATCTCCTTTAATTGCTTGTCGGCACTTCTGAATTTTGCCAACAACACATGTTCTGTCACCAATCGTCGGCGATTCTTAGAATACCTTGAAATGCGCGAATTTGCGAGGAACAGTGGTTTGGACAGTGATTTAGGAGATTCCTGGGTAGTTTAGAAAGTTTTTGCCACAAGAGGACGCTAGTTGTTTCGTGCTGCAGACTTTCATGCCTTTTCGCCAACTGACGAAGGTGTAGAAGCTCTAGGATCAAATGACCGGTACAACTAGCGGGCGATTGTTCGCAAATGCAAAGGAACATAGCTTTTACTACTTGTTCTATGTTATATACATTCCATAGCAGCGAAGTTCTAAACTTTCATATATTATCGCCATATAAATGGAATAGTCTATAGCCTTGATATTTTGCGATTGGAATAAATGGAATAGTCTATAGCCTTACAATTTCGCGATTTTTGCAAGCTATCAATGATTGCTTCATTCTACCGTTGCTTCGCTTATGAGCTCATTTCAAAAGCGAAAGCGCTTATACACGACAAAAGACCCTATCGTCCAATATGTTCTGTTATTTTCTGTTATTGATGTCACCCTTTTTTCATATTTTAGTTACCCAAGCATTTCTTATTTTGATGAGGATTTTTTATTTTTTCATTATGATTTTTCAAACTTTTAGAACTAATTTTCAATATGATTCAGTATGCAATCTTGTGAGGAAATAATTCTGTTGCTATTTATGAATTTTTGACGTTGAGCTTCCATTCAAAATTATAGCGGACTTACCCAGGTTCCAGTGCACTTGCCTTTAGCCATGACTTCATTACAAAAAATTGAGCTAACTCGCGAATCAGGATTGAATTGAAACCCTACCAAACCCTACCTACCAACCACACTATCAGCTGATTAACGCATGGTTTTTCGAAAACAACTCGCTGCAAATCTTTTGGGTGATAAAATCTTTTTGTATATGGTGTTACTTCCCGAACTAGTTGCTCAAACGAAATGTACAAGTGTGAATCACGGCCACGTAGCCGTGCTCTTCCTCGTCCTCCTTCGTCGTTCCTCTCTACTCTTTCCTCTTTGCCTGATTGATGATGCCGCGCGCCTGTTCGGCCGTGTGTGTCCAGCCCGCCACCGCGCCGGGACTACCATAAACCGCCCCCGAGCCATAGGCAATCGCACTCTACAGTATGCTCGTCGTGCTCGTTTTCGTGCAAATCCGTTGAATGCTGGCTCATGTCACGATATCACCTGGTGCTCCACTGCTCGTTCACAAGTTTATGAGAGTTTTTCGTGTCATCGGCTATTTTGCTCATGAATGCCGAGTCCAGGCCCGCGTTTCTCTGCGTGGATTCCGTACGGCTCCGCTATGTTTCGTGTCGTCGCGAATAGTGCTAGCACAACTGTGACGTGTGCTTTTGCCGTCTGCTTTCGATTTCGTGGCGATCCGAGCGATTGCACGCCTACGCGATAGCGTATAACGACTTGATTTGTGATGCGCTTCCGCTGCTCGCTGCAACTTCTTCTAAACTTCGCTTTCATATAGAGTTCGATGAGAAATAAAGTAAAAAACTTTTGAGGCGAATATGGTAAGAAGAGCATGAAAAGTTCACTGTCCTTCAAGAAAAAACTATACCTTATTCAAGCTGTTGTGATCGTCCCTGACTCCTGTATTGATATGATATAACTTTCACTCGCATTCTCACCATCCCATTCCCCTCAGCTCAATTTGATATAGACATTGCGCCTCTTAGCTGGGGTCTGTTGGCTCGTCGCTGCTCCTCAAAGTGGGCGGTACGAGGGCAATCAGGGAACAGTTGGTCCTAGTCGTGTGGCAGCGGCGATTTCCAAGTACTGTATCGTATTTCCCGGCTCCTTTACGTATCATAAGCTATCCTCTGTTGAACTCTTCTTCGCCTCTCTTCCTCGTGCCTCACCCTTGCTCGCAGGTCCGATCCGAACTTTTACTCGACGATTGTCATCTGCAGGTGTGGACGTAGTTTCACCCATCCCGCGTATTACACACCTCTATTTTCACGATCATATCAATTATCAATCAATACACGGGGGGTATGCACTCGTTGATCAGGTCGAGTTTGCTGTGTTGCAAGTGAGTGTGGGTGGCTGAAGATGCATTCATTTTCGCATAGCTAACGTTTACGGCCTTTGCGAGGACTTGGGCGGCAGTCATATGCCCGCGGATCTCGATTATTCACATCTGGCGCGAATGCCCTTATCCTTTATGGGTACTCCAAAGAAGTTTCGTCGTTTTACCCAGATGATCTGGCCACGCACGCACGCACGCACACTTCAACTCACTCTTCGATCCACTTTCTTGCCATCGTGCAGGGCAGAAGCAGTGACGTTTTGTAGCGGGTTGACATATAGTGAAAGCGTGTAACCTGTTCCAGAAGGGCATGCTGACAAGCAGCAGAAGCCCGCGGCTGGGTATCGTAAACGGGTGGGGAGCGGGGGAACGGTGACAGGACAGTTGCAAGTTTGCCCGGAAACGTCAGCGTGCCATTGATTCAGTTTTGCAGCCACTCAGCGCCGCTAACAGCACGGCGTTCAAGAAACCGGAACACAAGCGCATAACTTACTGCTGACTCGTTACCAGGTATCAATTTCGGCTGATAAGCAGCTTGCGAAAGTGAATTCGTCAATCTCGCAGCTGCGCATGCGCAAGAACGTGCCGCCAACGACGGCCGACGGGTTGCGGGTGAATTGCGCAATGAGCGGTGCCGCCGCGTCTTCATCGCGCGCGTTACGGGCGGCTAAACCTGAACTTTTGCCTTCGACGTTAGCTTCCATCTACGAGGATCAAGTTCGTTGCCGTCAAGCGGGTTTCGCCAATGAAAAAGAGAGTGCACGTCGGCTTTCGCTTTCTGCCTCTGTGACACATTCGCCTATGCTTATGCCGTCGTCGCACTTCGAAATTTCTGTTTCGTCTGCTATTCCTGACACTGTTTAGTCCTGCTCACCCCCTCAAGCTCTGTATTCAACTAGCCTCTTGGCTGTATCCCTATGCTCTCTTATAAGCATTACAGCTACTCAGTTCGCTGTTAACTGGTCTTTGCGTGCTAATCATTTTTACCATCACGATCTCACTGCTTAAGGAGGTTACCGAAAGTTCTAGCATTATGCCCATTTCTTACGCTTACTGTATTAGCCATGACTGGTTCTAGCAAAGTCTTTTGGCAGGATTTCCTGACCAGAGGGCTTTTTATCTTCATTGACACAGTTCCAGAATTCTTAGAGTGGATCTAATCGCGAAATGGCGTGATTTGAACTTCATTTCGTATTTATGCGTTCTATCCTGCAGTAAACTGAGATTTTGAAAGCTGAAGATTATAGATCTGTTGTACGAAGTGAGATTTTCTGATCTATATTTTGCGTACATTCTACAGAGGGCAATAAGTAAAGAATCAGCCTTCTTGAAGTCTCGTTGACACTCACAAAATAACCTCATGTCAAAAATTTCTGTACCCTCAGCAGCGCCTGATGTCACTTTCTCTACATCTTAACTTGCAATTCTGCTAATTCTAACATTCAGAGTATAATACAACATAGCTTCTTGAACTCATCTTTCTTACCGATTAAAAGTGTCCGGTTCAAGCAAGCAGTGCACCCTACAGTCTAAGCTCCATTGCGAATAATTCAAATGTTTTGCATGCTTGCAAAAGTGCTGCTGAATGGCGACGTTGACCGGTGGACCGGCTTACAGCCAAGAGTTGTGAACAAACACAATAGGGAAGCCGCAACAATAACGTAAACATGTTAAAAATGAGTTAAGTGAGAGGAGCGAGCACGAGGCGAGATTCGACCACTGAAATGATTCGCGTGTGTGAGAATGTGTGTTACACCTTCATACAAACATTTGCATTACACTATTGTTACAGTACGGCCTGGGAAAAATGGAGAGAAGGGGTTTCCCCGGCTATTGTGGTCTCGGCGGCCCGCTTGAGTTTACACTTTAGTTGAACATGCGATCAGAACGCGCTGATGAGCGTCTAGCGTGGCTAAGTTGGAGCAGCGCTGCGGAACGCTGGCGGCAGGCTCGAGTTCGGAAGAAGCCGAAAGCGCTGCAAATGCGGCATAAGCGAAAACTCGTCGGGTGACTTTAGCTCAGCACTCGTCGCGCTTCGTCCTGACGCCTTGGCCGTTCGAGATGGGCGCAAAAAATGGAACATGGGCTGATGAATGTGCTTCGGCTTCTCACTCTCATTTTCACCCGGCACAGTAGTTGCCATCCACACACCCGCCTCGGCCGTCGTCTCCCCCCGCTACCGTATCCTCGCAGGCAGCGCCGGTGGGCGTGGCCGGGCGTCTATATCAACTCTCGGCGCTCACTCCAATTTTTGCCCAAACAAGTTCTGCCAATGATAACCCAATGCGACTCAGTTCATCACTAATTGTTCATTTACTCGATCGATACCGGCGACACGCAACTCGTCTCGCGATTAATGGATTTACGGTTTTAATGCGTCACAAATGTGCCTCTGCCATTCACGCCTCTCTCGCTCGTCCTTCTCGAATAGCAGTGAATCTGTGATCTCTTGCTTTGTATGTCTTATGCGGCTGCACTTTCAGATCTAGCGGATGTGCTGATTAGAGACGTGAACGCGTCGAGAACACACGTAGGAATCATGGAGATTCAAGCACATCTAATGCACCATAACCCGTACGATCTAGTCAAAGCCGAAGAGCCTTCGACGCCACCGAAGACGAAGTCGACATGTGAGTTTCAGTCGAAGTGTGTGTGCTGGGCGTTTCTCGAGGTTCGATCAGCGTCATATGGTCAGCCTGGAATTGATCCCGTGCGCGTCAGGCACTATGGAATTGAGAGCGAAGATACGAAGATGTCGCTGGCGTTTCAGAAAAGCCTCTGATGTACAGATTATGGGCGCGAGTGCGTAGCTGTTTCATTTAGCTTTGTCAAGCCTAGCGTTTTGTGGCATTTTTGCAGAACATTCGCGAGAGTCTCTTCACGACTTTGAAAGCCCAGTTTTTTGCTGGCATCAGTTGCTTTGACTTCGGTTCGCGTTGTTGATTGATGCTCAAAATCTCGACGCGCGATTGTTATGGTCAAGGCGAGCGGGAATCGTTCTCGCTTGCTATCAGAGCAAAACATGCTAAACAACTTGGTGCTAGAGATCCATAGTCAATAAACTTTGCAAAAAAAAAAGAGTTCAAAATTTGTCTTTCAGTGTGCTCGTCAACCGACATGCTCTTCAGCGTATCTAATTTCAATATCCAGTCAAATTTCTGTCCACCCGTCAACAATAATCATGATCCGTTGAATAATAATCACGTGAAGATCAGCTCAAATGGTGAGAAATAGCAAATCGAAGCGTGTTTTCTAGCATCTTCATAAAACGCGCTACGATTTTCTAGGCAGAACCCTGGCGGCAGATCGTAAACGGCCGTATCCGTGCAACCTATGCACGTCTAGGTTTGGCAGCAAAATGGAGTTGGAAGAGCATCAGAATAGCCATACGGGCATGAAGCCGTTCGAATGCGATGTAAGCTTATTTTACTGAATTTTTTCTGCACGGATGTGTCTTGATTGCTTGGAAAAATCTGCTTATATTCGTCTCCGTAAGCAAAATGGCCTAAAAATTTTATGACGTAAAATGCACCTCTATTTTGAAAAAAGCAGTCATCTGTCATTGACGTGAACTTTTGCAACTCCACATTGAATAAGAAGTTTTCTTTGTTCCAAAGAATTTTCATAGCACCGATATGTCAAAAAAAGTAAAAGCATTACTTCCCATAGCCATCTTTATGCCCACATACCTTGATGAGTAGGCTTGATCACTTTGTTTATGCTACCATGGTCATGTGCTAAAGGCACATGCATTTCAGGCGCGATATGATATTTTTCCGAAGAAAATGGATCATATGACTCATGCAACGATTTTCCTGTGAAAGCATAGAAATTCTTGAGTCTGCTGAACTTTAGGTTTATATTTGTGGGAAAAATATCGCCTATAATATTTTCGTTTTCCAGCAAATCTGTTGTCTTTTTTAGAATTATTCGATTGATTCCATAGTCTGGAAATTTTGACATGAAGTAGTACTAAATCAGCATGCGAAAATATAAATGCCTAATTTTCTCCTCCAATTTTTCTAGACAATTATTCCTCATTTATTCAGGTCTGTAAAGCCCGGTTCAATCGTCGATCCACGTTATGGAATCACAAACGAATCCATTCCGATGCTAAACCGTTTGTATGCACTGTATGTCAAATGACATTCAAATGGAAGAATAGTTTGAAGGTAAGTCTCTATGAGGAAAAATTCCGACAAAGCTTAAGGAGAAAAAACTAAAAGTATTTTCGTGTTTTTTGAACACCTGCTCTATCCCATCTCCATCCTCATTTCCTCTTACTCATTTCTAGGTTTCGTTATAAACTTCGGATACTCCACCCTTGTTATATAAAATAAATGTATTTTGGACCCAACTTGAGTAAGCAATTCAGAGAAAATTGTGACAATTTCTAGTTGCCCTGAAAATACTGCGATTCAAAATTAGTCTGAACTTCGCACTATAAATTTGATTTTATAATCAGTTAGGTAGTACCAGATGCCAAAAGTCGGGTAAAAGTCAAAAATTTCCATTCAGGTCTAAACAAGTTTTTCTGTGGAATTTACTCTTTTTCAACCCTTAGGGATTCTTAGAGATCAGAACCCCTTCATATGCTAATCTGTATGTAATTATCCCTGTGGAAAACCGAATCTTGTAATTATCTCATTCCGCTTGAAGATTTTTGCGTTTATGATGTAATTTTTCAGTGCCATAAGGAGATGCATTTGAGAAAGAACGAATCAACTCCTCACATTGATAACGACCTGCGTCAGTTGACGTATGCAACTGCGGCTAAGCGAAAGCTGGTCAGTCTGAAGTTCACTTTCATTACGAGACTATACGGCATAGCTACAAGATGAATATCGAATTCAGATGATGGATCAGGAGGAGCAAGGAAATCCTGCAACATCTTCAGCATCGTCAATTCATAGCCAACCGTTGATCACGACCACTACACCGAAGAAGAAGTCGAATAAGGTAGAGATTGAGCTTTATCGGACTTACACTCGTTCTGGGAAAATCTCATGAAATCACCATTCTCATTTTATGAAATTGAATTTGTCTGAATTTTCTGGCTGCTAACAGAACTCTCAGCAAAACTGCTTTATAAAGTTACAAGTAAAGTAAAACATTTTATCAAACTCTAGAATGTTTTCTCTATCAACGAAGGTTTTGATCAACAGGGAAAGAAAGGGTTAGAGTTGAGCGTTGTAAAACAGTCAGAATCCAACCAAAATCAAAAAAAATTTTTCTCAAGGTTCATAGCTGTTCTTTGCAATCGAGTTTCTCGATGGAATTTACTGTCAGTAAAGGATTTTTATTACAAAATTTTTCAGACACTTTTCGAAGGAATTTTTGGCAAAAGTGATTTTGCCAGAAAATTTTTTCAAAATAATAACCTAAGCTCAGAAATCTGAGATTAGTTGAAATGCTTGCAATAACTCATCGTACAGATGTCACATTTTGATTGGAAATTTTCCGACACGCTTTGTTTGAAAAATTTTTCAACACAATTTAGCAAATAATTCCTATTTCAGTCTTCGCCAAATCACGGTGTTGGAACGGTTAATCTAAACCCGATCACACAACCTCTACAAGCGGTAAGTTACCAACTACTAGCCGACTACTCGTCCCCGTTGGATTACGTTAAAGCCACCGAACTGCAGAGTGCCCTAATACCGCCATCGGATCATCAACTTGATCTGGATACGAGTTCGTTGGACACTCTTGTAAATAGCAATAACAACCTCCTCATGCACATTTATAACAGGTTCGGGCAGTTGTCTCTATGTGTCTTGTGTACATTTATGTGTATTCTGAAGTTTCGAAAATGATAATGTTTTAGTGAAGTGGACCCGTCGTTGACGTCACGTCATACGAATCCAATGCTGAATAGTATTGATGACAATATGTTAAATTCACAGTTATTAGGAGATATTAAGAGTGAAGTAAGTTGAATTTTCTAGTTTCTTGCTACCTTCTGGATAAAAAAAGTTATCTGGTTGAAATCTTGTTGTAAACGAAATTTTCTAAAAATCTTCAAAAATGTGACAGGCCATAAATAAGTGATTATGATTCTAGACGAGTAGGAGCAATCGGCAAGACACTACCAATGCGAGTTTTTACCCACACCACCATCTACAATTTGATTTAGTGCGTACTGTTTTTTTGTGAAAGCACAAAACCCCTCAGGACCGCAAATCTTAAAGGGTGCATAGTGAGTCTAAGTGCCTTGGACTAATTCTTCATAGTTCCAGTCATCATTGGGCGGTACAGCGACAGCAGCACCGATAAATGTGCATTTGCCGATGCAATTGAACATGCTAAACTTCAGGCCGATAAACGCGCAACAGTTGGTGAGCTACTTTGGACGAGTTCACTTCTTTCTCCTCCATGTTTTTTTGGCTTTTTCGCTTAGCTCTTTTGCTGTGCTGCTGCTATGCGAGCGACGAGTACGTGAGGCCTGACTAAAATCTTAGCTTTTTCAGCCGTCTGTGCACCATTTGACGTCTACTTCATTACCGGTGTCAGTTCCAATGGATTATACCATTCATAACGAAACGCCTAATGTTGCGCATCCACAGTATATTGTTACGACACAACCGGATATGATGTTACCGCAAGGCATTGGATATCAGCATCATGGGGTTCGTTTTAGGCACTATTAACAATATTATAAGCTTTTCAGACATTGTCCGTTTGTACAACCACAGAAAAATGCTTGAAAGTGCAAAAAATTGGATATACTGCGAGTTTGACCAGCGAAGTTACAGTAATCCTGACGCAACTTACCGTAATGCAAACTAGAATTTTTCGCTTGCTTTCGTCAAAACATAATTCCCCCTGGTCGAAAGATAGGAAGTAAGTACAGAGCGAATCAAAAGCTTTTTAGTGGTTGTGCTAGAGGGCTCTTGTATGTTTTGCTTTTAAAAAGCCTAGAAATCTTCAGAAAAAACTGGGAGTAGTCCAAAAATTCTAGGCGAATATATCGTCTTTCAAAAATTGAGCTGGAAAGGGGTGAACTTCTGATATAAATTAGTATGTGCTACTTTCACTATCGGATGAGTTATATAAACGGAATTTATACGCTTTAATGACATAATTTGTATTACAAGCAAAATTATCTCTTAAGAAGCAAAATGTGCCAAAACGTCAACTCTTACTCCGTTCTGTTCCCTGCCTTGGACGGACTTATTTTGAGTCCCACATTTTTCCCACAACTCCCTTGCTAGGAAGGAAGACCTAGAATCAATGCAATGTCGTTAGGAAAATGGGTTATTTTTATTTCAATTTCTTAAAATTTTCAGTTGGACCAATGTGTGATCCTGACGACCGGACACGATTATGTGCCAAATTTTGACTACCCAATGATTGGCAACTATCAAATGCAAGCGGAACAACACGAAGCTCCTCCACCGTCTCATGACTCAAACGACGAGAAAATTGTCCCATACGAGCAGTGGTAGACGTTATATGTTATGATGATAACTTAGCCAAATCCAAAAAACCCCCTCTCTAATCTCAGTGTCATGCTTAGTTACCAATTCTCGTCATGTTTTCATTGCACCGAAATTTTCTATTCAATTTTTTTCTCATTTGCGCTCCACGTTTATCCCCACTCACACTCCAAGTTTTCACACACACACACGTTTTGTTGGAAAGGGTAAAACTAGTCCGTTAATGCTCATATTGAGAGTTATTGGGAGTACATCAGCCATAAATTTCTGATAAATAGACACTCAAAACCCACACACACACCGACACCAACGCCTTTCCTTCCAGCTAACAAAGTGCCACAGTATTTTTTTCGGTCGCTTCCCCCCTCACAGATGAGGTGCGTAGTGTTTTTCTTCCATTATTTATATGTGTATAATATCCACGAATGCTTCCTTCAGTGTCATTTTGATCTTCTCTCAGCCATGAGTTCCGCCATAATATTCCCATCACATTCATGTGTTTTTTGTCACAAATTTTGTTTTGTTGAATGTTTATGTGTTTTATTTCTTTCGCCTAAAGAAGTGTCTCTGTGTGAATCATGCGTGCCATTTGTGTAGCTACTCGCCTTATTTTCAATTTTCATGTGATTCCGCGTGCCTTGTGTTATGATGGGTGATGGGATGATCGTAGATTTTTTTATTGAAAATTCGAAAATTTTTTGATCCAGGAAAACATGACTGTTATGGGCTAATTGCCCATTTCTCCAATATAAAATATCATCCCATCACTTCTGAGCCGATCTCTGCTCAAAAATTGGACCGCAGCAGTCCGTAAAGCCTTTCACTGCACAGTTGCCTTGTCTCCCCCCCCCCCCCCTGCTCCCCCCCACCCCTCCCACACCACTGCTCCGCTATGCGATGAGAATTGCCTTCTTTATTAATTCGTTCATATTCATCATTCGCTGTAGGAGCTGTGTAGTCAAATGTTTAGACAGAGATGTACTTGTAGAGATATGTTTGTATATTCTGTAGAGAAACCTGTGGTTTTCCTCCTTATCACAATCGATTCATGCTTGTGCGATGTTACGTCATCGACATGTTACGATTCAAATAAAATTACAAAATTTATTTTATGTGAAATGTTATGTAAGGAACTTTCCAGTCAACTATATTGACTGTTTGAGTTTCAGCACAACAGTAATTGGCGGCATTACCGTAATCCATTCGCAGCCAGTTTATAGGTTTGGAAGAATAAACCCAAGGGACGAATCTTTTGATAATTTGTAACATTTTCATATAAAATGTTAACACAAATCCCGAATATTAAGAGTATCATGACACTTACAGCTTCTATTTATGTATGTACTTGCGGGCTAGTTATTCGCCAGTACTGTAGAATTTGAAATCTGCAAGAACACTGCAGACATGAAAATTAGTTTTGTGCATTCTTGAATTGGAGCGGCAAAGGGCCATGAATAGATTTCGATACTTTGTCGAAAATTGATGGTGATTAGATTAGACAATAGTGTGAGAATGAAAAAAGCAAGTAAAGTTTCGTGAGCAGCTCTTAGAAAAAATCCCGGAGCTTTTCTGCTCACTAGTGATCATCGGTTTACTTGGATTTCAGCTTCTAGGAAAAAAGATGGTCTGAACGCTGCAATTTGCATTTTTCTCGCTTTTTTTTACTCCGTAGAACATTGAGAGTAGCAGGCGATTTTGCTGAGTGCTTTACTTAGCGAACCGCATAATGGTCGTAAAAACACAAAATGTCAAACTCAATCCTCAATAAAGAGCTATCTTTGTTCCATATACAGATAAATAAGTTTGTGGGTACTTTAATAGAGCTGTAGTAGTAGCTTGTTGTAAAAAAAATTTGCTATGAAGTCTCACTGCATAAACAAGTAACCCTCATTTTCAAAACGAAGCAAGAGTATCGACGCTGTTGATGCTCATTACTAGATTCTCAACAAAAAAGGTCCAAAATCAATCTCTTCCTTTATTAGATCCTTCCAATAAAAAAAGTAATCCTCAGACTGTGTTGAAATATCATACTATTGGTATTTGGCTTCAGATTTAGTTTTGCCAAATAAATTGCTCTTCTCGTTGCTCTTTAACTTTTGATTGGGTGTTAATATTCCTTCCTTTCATGATATTTTTGAACGCATGACGATAAATGCTTTATTTTTTACTAAGCGTAAAAAAGTTAAAGTGAAGGGTTCTTGTAAAGCTAGAAATTCCCTTTGAGGGGTGATTTAAGAGAAGAAGTCAGCGGAGACTTCTTTATGCTGTTTCCATGCAATCGTCCTCATTCCCACAGGCTTTGTGTTCTCGGACCGCTTTTGCCTTCTGCACTAGAAAGGACGGTGGCGGTGGAATCATCATGATTTCTTGCAAAAATTTGATTGAAATTAAATTTCAAAATTTCAACTTGTGCGGCATAGCAAGATTCAAAAGTATCAACAGTGCCCAGGTTTGAGCAAAATGGGACTTGGAAACTACCGTAATTGATAAAACAGCATAAAGTCACGAAAAAATAACGCAAAACATCGCAAAAGGTTAAGAGGAAAATTTGGCAATTTCTAATTATGTAATTGCCACACAAGTTTGAAAAGTACTGCAACTACACAAGGCGATTATTGAAAAAGAGGTTACTGTAATATTAACCGTATCGCATGCTTAGGTCTGTTGAAGCTAACTCTAATTCCCAGCATTTTAGAAGATCTTCTGTTTCTGAAATGACTGGACATGAATGCATTGACGGGGGCAAAATAGACGCTAGACCCCTCAGATCTTGCGCCATTCGTGTCCATGGAAACCATGGAAACCAGCAGTGGCGGGTCCAAGCGCTTAGGTTTACAAATAACCATTGCAACATGACAATTTTACAATGAAGCTACAGTTTCTGTCAACTCTTCTACCTCAACAGGTACTTACAAAACGAATCTAATATTATCTCGAAAAATTTTAGCATTTTAGGAAGGTTCAAGTAAAGTTTGCTCATTGGCTTGCACTCCGAATGGTTTGAAATTGGCTGTTGTTGGACGAGATCGCGTTATTACCTTGATCGATGATAAGGGTGAAGTTAAGGACCGATTTAGTTCGAAACCACTTGATGCTAAGGTCAGGGTCTACAGAACTGGACGCCAGAATTTTTTTTACTATTTTTCTTTTTAGTATGGGAAAAGATCTTATATTATCAAATGGATCTGCTTTTCTCCGGACTCATCGCGGCTCGCTTTAGCACAATCAGACAATGTTGTTTATGTCTATAAAACAGGAGAAACATGGCAAGTTCTACATTTTTTCATTTCTCTTTGCAAAAATAAACGAGCAGTTAAGCTTGCTTGTGAACTTTTTCGCGCTTCATAACAGTTGTCCATAGCACTTTGTGAATTCCAGTAGCAGAGAAAACTTGAAAACTTGACATGCACACGTCTCAATATCAATTCCAGACTGGTTTTTTCTTTGAACAGACGTCGTCACATCCTGTATGACGCGTCTAAGTCGACATTGTAATTTGTGGCACAATTTTCAGGAACGAAAAGAAACTGATAGTGAATAAACTACCACAGACAGCTGCTGTCAATGTTGTTCAATGGCCGTTTGATGACAAGTTATTGTTAGGACTGAACGATGGAAAGTTGCGAGTTGGTGTGCTAAGCAGTAACAAATGCACTTCGCTTTATAAGACAGACGAATCGGTTGTTAGCATCAGCGTGAAGTGAGTTTAGTTTGATACAGAGTTATCAGGTTGAAATGGAAGTTCTGTTGCATCATTTTCGAAAATTCAGAGCTTGATTTCTTGACGGAATTGCATGTATTTAACTTTATTTGGGAGAAGAAATCGTGTGCTTTATGACTTCTTATAGATTCCCTAAACGCACTCGTTGCATACGTAAAAGCGTAGAAAAAAATCACTACTCATATCTTGCTTTTTCTGTTTTGTCATTAAAAAAATCTGAAAATTAAAATAAAAATTGGAACATTTAGTGTTACAGGTTTTTTTGACCTACTTCTTTTGATTGAGCAAAATCTGTGCCGATTAAAAGTCCTTACAAATGTTAGGATTTTCAAGAAAAATGCAAAAAATCAACGGTATTGTGCTTGCTCAAAATCATAATTTTTAACAGAGACATTCACACACAAACTTGTAACGAGCGGGTTAAAAAATCTACAATAGTGACTGCTATATTTTGTTGCAAGTTTCAGATTTTTATGATCAAAAACAGGAAAACTGAAATAGCGATTTTCTTCTCCCGCTTCTGCCTACAATATTTGTGAGTATCAGAAAGGGGCTACATGCAGGTATCTATAAAGTGCATGATTTCTTCCGAAAAAATTTAAATGCATGCCCGTCGAATCAGAAAGCTACGAATGTTTGAAAATGATGCTACAAAACTTCCGTTCCAACTCAAATTGGATTATCACTCAAAGTCCTGCAGAAAATTTTCGTGGATCCATTTTCCATTTTCATCTAGATCGTTCATTTCGTGACGATTTAGAGTTTGAAAAAATCATGCGCTCTCGATTAGTGTTTGTGGTAAAAAAATCGTTTTTGGAATGTCGCAGCGTCCAATAATAAAAAAAACACAAAACGAATCTCAATTTATTTGAAATACGATATTGCAAATGCAAACTCCAAGTGAATCTAAATTTATTGCTGGTATGATGTTTCGAAATAATCTCTAAAGGATGAATGCGTGATGGAATGTCCCCACAATCTGTTGAGTCTTTCGTTCAGAATGAACTACATTGAATCTTTTGGATTTTTCTGATTACTATAGGAATTTATAACACTTTTTGTTCAAGTCTTATGAGTGTCATCGCAGTTTTGAACGATTGAGCTTTGATTGATAAAGTTTTGATTTTATAAAGGAAAGCATTTGCTAAATCATTTTTCTCTCTATTCCTTCACTTAACCAAGATAGTCTGGACTTATTGCACATAAAAAGTTTCTTATTCATGAAAATGCATGCAAGAACCAGATCACTCGAGTTTCGATGATTGGCAAGCTCTCCAAAAAATGTAAACGAACTGAAACGGTCCAACATATGATCTCCCCAGCCAACCAAAGAGTTAGTAAGTTCACGTAGAGTTATGAATTTTTCCACTTACTAAACGGAGAGATTGATTATATCATCTTCTTTAGAAATCATGTTTTCTGATAAGAACACCGTACAAGCGCGAATTTTACTCCAAAAAAGGAGGTCACAAATCAGACTAGTTTACGACTTTTTCGCTTTTTATTGTAATGTCTTGCTTGTACTCGCCGAAAGTCTAACAATATTCTTCTTGCAATTTTTCTGTGCGCCTGTGCAAATAGGCATTCAAGCTCCCTTCAAAAACTAGATCAATTTTTCATTTCCATAAAGATTACTGTAAACAAATCATTTGGATGGAGAAACATTACAACATTCCAAGTGCGAACAAACTTTCGTACCAACCCAGTATGAAGAGTGCGAGTTCTTCTCATCAAAAAGAATGGACTATATCAAAGCAAAACTGAAAATGGCTTTCATTGAAACCTTCAGCATTTTTGGCTACAGAAATTTGAATAAAAACGGTTCAAGCGTACTTCCTTATTGGTTAAATGAGCTTATATACGCTTCTCTTCATACACATCGATAAAGTACATCTATATCATCACCTTTTTTAATCTGGGTGAAATATATAGATAGCAATTTATTTCCAGTTTTCATTTTTCACCAAAATAGAGAATTATGAGCATCTTTGATAATACATATTCAAAGCATACAATAGGTTCCTGGAAAAATAATGCGATCCGTTACATACAGCAGACGCAACTATGTCAGCTTCTGTAACTTGGTTAAATTTGAAAAACCGGAATTTTTACGAATTTTGGAAATTGATAATCCTTCAGCAAAATACGAGAATATTCTGTTAATGGAACACCTGCTTGGCAAGATTTTCGTCGATAGAAGATTTGCTTCAAATTTCCGTACCTCCCTTCTTCCTCATTCTGCTTCTAGACACATTCGATTGAAATAACAGAAAAAGCTCTGAACATTTATCTTTACTGCCATGGAAAATGATGGTAGCGTAAATCGACTAAATTAGAACTTCTTTAGCTATGAAAGCAATTTGAATTTTTTATAAAACCTACGATGCTGGCGCAAAATGAGCGGCTATAGAGTTCGGAGATTGATTATAAGAAGCAATTGTTCCATTCTTGAAGGAGTTTCCGAATGTATTACAAAACAATCTCTAAAAAAATAATCCTGTTTGACAATTGGCATCTACATTCCCCAATTCGGAGATACATTGCTATGTGCAAAAGGTAGCTTCAATGACAGAGGTCCAATATCCGTTTTATCCATCGTAACCATCATTCAGTAAGTGATGCTCTTTAGCAATTTATTTTTCTCAATATGAGTCTTTACTTGAAACAAGTGCTTTTTTCAGCTTTTTGCAGTTTAGCGCAAATCCTATCGAGTACACTGAAATGTTAATTGTAGAATGCGTTCTGAACTGCAGATCCAAGACCGGGGTTCGGCACAGGTGGCTTGGTAAGCAAGCTGGATATTGTTTTTGGGCAAAAAGCAAAGGGGGTTTCGTTTTGTGGCCGAAAAGACACAAAATTTGCGACGTTTGTACGTTTCGTTTTTTGGAGATTTTTTTTGGATCACGGTTAAGTGTCAAAGAGGACTTCGTAAAATATTGGAAAAGTCAAGGGGGACTTCGTTTTATGCATTCAAAAGCCACCTCGTGCCGAGCCCTGTCCAGGATGTATTTATTGCAACAAGTTTGAAATTGAATTCCCTTTTAGCGTGGGTAAAGATCATGCTTCCAGAGCATAGGATTTTAACCATTACTAACTCATCGCAATCACTTTTAACACTACAGCGAAATGAAGTAAAAAAATATGTCGCTCTCCAAATCTTTTATGCAGCACTACATTTCGCCATCAGCATCATCAGTACAGCGCCATTGCAGTATCATTTCTGTACTCATTGCTCACAAAGTGTTAATTTGTCTACTCTATACTTTATCTGCTGTACTGATTCGAGTAAGTTGTATGTTGCGTTTTCAGCATCACATAGTTTATCTTCCTGTTTATTTTCGTCTTCGCACAGTTCTAAGGTCCTCGGCTCAGAGTCCCGTTTAGCGGAAAATTATTTTCCTTCCTGTCAGAAATTTTTGGAAATTTTGTTAAGTGTATTTCAAGCATAATAAGGAGATAGTTTATAGGTCCTTAGTTGGCGTAATGTGCCATTACAGCCGAATCTGATCTGGCTCAATCTTGACGCAGGCTTCTGGTAATGAAGTAGGTAAGAGTTGGATAGGCTATCCAGTTTTATGCATCATCTCAATATCTTTGTTCCCTTTGTTTGGTCACTCATCATATAAATAAAAGAAACCTATGCGAACTCTGGTACAGCTTGCTCTTACCATCCCACAGGAAATTTTCACGCTCAACACTTCTGCCCTAAATCCCTGTACTTCATTCTCGCATTCAAAAAATTTTTTCTGATTTGAAATTTACAGAAATGCCTCATATCCCACTTTCTCTCATCGGATTCTACCAACTATCTTTTGGTATTTTTTTGCTATGCGACTCTTTAGAAGAAGGATATAATGCGCTTTATTAATCTCGAAAAAAAATCGTTCTTGGTTGAACCAGCGATGCAAGTGATAAGGAAGAACCCTGAAATTTGTTTTTCATAATTCATAACTTTTCTCAGGACCCATAGTGTCATGTTCCAGTTTTGTTGTTGTCTTCACTATCTGTTTGCTTTTCTCAACCAAGTAAAGCTCTTGTCGATTGACTGTAAATGATCTTACTATTGCTGATTTTTTCGAAGAGTTCATTCTGTAAGAAATCTGCAATATAGGTTAAAAAAATCCAGTATATGTCTTATGATCAAGAAATTCAATAATCAAGGTTTCAAACAATTTGCAACGAATTTCTTCAAGTTCTCAGTGCAAGCTTAGGCACCAATCGAATTCTGAGAATAATTTTTGCCTTTCTCTTTTTCCGTCAAGCAACTCGAATGCGCATATTTTTAGAAAACCTGTCACAAATTAAACTCAATTATATTGCATAATTAAGCAGTGGCGTACCGAGGGGGGAGGGCGAAATTTTTTAAAATCACTTACATGTGCTATAAAAAATTTGCAAGCGACTTTTTTCACTTGTAAACAATTAAAATAATTTTTGAAACTCTAAAAATTCAAATTAGCCATGTAAAAAAATTTCAGGGCGTGGCGCAACCACCCCCCCCCCTTTTCCTGAAATTTCGGGTCTTGGGCCCGCGAAAACATCGGCATCTCAATAAAAAAAATTTCACGATGCGTGGCAGACGACACACACCTTCATCCAAAATATTTTTTGTCGCCCTCCCCCCCCCCATCCCCGAACGGAACTCCGGGGTACGCCAGTGTCATTTACGCACATGCTATAAATTTGATGCTGTTCGAGCATGTTTTTCCTCTTTCAGCATCGTTATATGAAATGAGCGAAGTCGGTGCACTCGGCATACCCGAAATCTGAGGAGAAATCAATATATCATCTCCACTTAGGAGGCTAAGCGTATGTCATTTTGAAAGACGGTTGTTCAAAAAAAAAGTTGTTGATTTTATAAGATTTGGATTGGCGCCTTATCAATGACCTCTTCACTGACCGTAAAAATTTCTGAAGCAGAATCCCGAATTTCTAAGCCATAAATAAGGAAAAATTCAGAGATAAAAGGTTTACAACTGTTTGGTAAATATTGATCTTTCAACCGCGAGAAGAACAGGACGATGTGCTAGATTTGAAATTGAATTAGCCCTATTCGGCTCTAGTCTGTAACAACAGCACTGGTTTTTTTGCACAAAGATAATATAACAGGATTATGAGCCTACAAATAATCCTAAAAAATAAGGTTAAACCTCTTTGGCTGCGATGTTTTGAATCACTACCCATTTGGGATGAGCAACATTGTCAAAGAGGTTGACCTCTAGCCAAAAATTGAAAAACTGAAGGAATGCGAAAATGCTTTATCTGGCTTATTTTCTAATCTTTCCCCCCTCCCCACCCCCGTCCTTCATTCCTCCTCAGTCTGAATGTCATGCAGCATTTGGGTTGCAGATCATTGCTCACATAATTTTCTATAATTTGTTAACAGCGTAACCTCAGCGTGAAAGTTTTCATATGAGCCAAAAACGGTTTTATAATTTTTCCCCTAAGCTTTTATAGCCATCGGAAAATCTTCATTGGCCGTGCAGTCTGCTCCAATCGCAGACATGCCCCTAAACAAACCAAGTTTGGTGTTGTTTATGCTTGCCTTTTTTTTCTTTTTCTTTTGTGTTTTGTTCTTCTCAGGGGATGGGGAGGGGTGGAGGCGGATGGGGCGCGGGGGGGACAAGTGCTGGTCACCGGTAGTTTTAGGCTTCGACCACGGAGTAAAACGGTTTGGTTCATGATGCATTATGAAAAACTTTGACTTTTTGTTCAATAAATGGCAGAAGAGGGGCCATTCTTGTATACCATCTTTTCTAGGGCCAAACAAAAAGAATTGAAAAGTAGTGAGTGGTGGTAGTTGAAGAGGCCTTCGTAACAAATGTTCAAAATCACAGAGGGCTTCGTTCTGAAATCTGCCTGGTTACAGCTGGTGCCGAGCCCTGACCCTGATACAGCTTGTACTCCCATCTTTATACGTAGTTTTTCACGTTTACCACTCCGCCACCATCAAATCTTTCTAAAAATGTTTTTCTTGCTTCAGAAATTCTGTTCTGATATTTTGTAACTATTTCTTGTACAAAAGTGGAACCAACCTCGCATCATACTTCCTCTCATCGGATTCGAACAACTAATCTTTTTGTACTTTTTACTATGCGATACTGTAGAAGAACAATATCAAGGGCTTCACCAATCTTGATAAAAAATCGTTCTCAGTATGAACCGGGATACTAGTGATAAAGAAGAACCCTCAATATTTTATTCGTTAATAAACTTCATGAAAACTCATAATGTCATGTTCCAGTTCTGTTGTTGTTTTCACTATCTGTTTGCTTTCCCCAGCCAAGTAAAGCTTTTATTGATTGACTGTAAATAATCATACAATTGTTGATTTTTTCGATGATTTCGTTCTGTAAGAAATCTACAGTACAGATAAAAGAATCCAGTACATGTCTTATGATCGAGAAACTCAATAATGGAAGTTTCAAACAGTTTGCAACGAATTCCTTCAAGTTCCTAGTGCAAGCTTAGGCACCGACCTAATTTGAAGAATATCTTTCCTTTGTTCTCCTATTCTTCAAGCAACTCGAGTGCGCATCTCATAGAAAACCTGTCAAAAATTTATAAACTTGATTTGCATAATTGGGCATGACGTACCGAGGGGGAGGTGGGGGGGGGGAGGAGCGAAACTTTTGGAAGTTACTCACACATGTTAGATGTGCAAGCGACTTTTTTCACCTGTAAACAATTAAAATAATTTTTGAAATTTTAAAAATCTAAATTAGCCACGTGAAAATTTTCAGGGCGCGGCCCAGCCACTTTCCCCTATCCTGAAATTTTGGGGTCTTGGGGCAGCAAAAATTATCGGAAGCATCTCAAAAGATTTTTCGAAGTGCTTGGCTGACGCCACACACCTTCATCCGAAAAAGATTGCCCCCCCCCCCCCCGAACGGAACCTCTGGGTACGCCACTGTAATTAGGGTATAAGTAACAATTTTCAAACTGTTGAAATCTTATTCTATACTTGAACTCATTTACGCACATGTTATAAATTTGATGGTATTCCGGCATGTTTTTCCCGTTTCAGCGTTCTTATATGAAGTAAACGAAGGAGGTGCATTTGGTATACCCGAAAACTCTGAGGAGAAATCAGTATCTCATCTTCACTTAGGGAGCTAGGCATATGGCATTTTGAAAGACGGTTGTTCGACAAAAAAATAGTTGTTGGATTTATAAGATTTGGATTAACGCCTTATCAATGACCTTTCACAAACCGCAAAAATTCTCCAAAGTAGACTCTGAAGTTCGAAGCCATAGGGAACAAATTAGAGATGAAAGTTTTACAACTGCTTGGCAAATAATGGTCTTTCAACCGCGAGAAGAACAAGACGATGTGCTAGATTTGAAATTGAATTAGCCCTATTCGGCTCCAGTCTGTAACAAGAGCACTGGATTTTTTGCACAAAGACAGTATAACAGGATTATGAGCCTACAAATAATGCTGAAAAATAAGTTTAAACCTTTTTGGTCCGATGTTTTGGAAACCGTTTGGGATGGCCAACATTGTCAAGGAGATTAACTTTTAGCTAAAACTGTCGACTCAGCGAATGCAAAAATGTTATATTTGACTTACTCCTTTATCTTTCTCTCTCTCTCTCTCCCCCCCCCCCCCTCCTACCCCGTCCTCCTTGCCCTTATTCTGGATAACACTTGTGTAAAATGACTATATTTGAGTATAGTTTGATGCTTCAACAATTCGCCCACATTTGCTAAGAAGCAGAAAAACTCCAGTATTGATAAATGGTGGTTAATTTTACAATGTCTCTCAGAAAGTTCTTGTCTTTACAAATGGTTGATTTTACAAAAACATTTTCAGAATAAAAGCTTTTACTCAATTTTTCTTTACAAAACTCCAAGCTCTATTTCCACTTCTTGTCTCAAAATTTCAGATAAAAGATTCATTACCCTTCATATTTTCAGTCCTCGAAGAACCGCATTTGTTTCCGGACATCAAGATGGCTCAATAATTCATTTCACATTTAGCAGCAAAAATCAGGCAAGTTGCTACTCTAACAAATATGGTCGAATATAATGATATGACTTCTTTAGATCAAAATATGTTCAGTGCCTGGGGCACCTTTTTGTCTGGTCTACACTGCACATGGAATTATTGCTGTTAGCGATCGCAGAGTATTTTCGTATACTGGTGAGTTGCTTTTCATCCAATCACCTCGTGATGCTAAAAACTAATCTCCAGAAAATGGTTTGGTCCAACAACAATTTGATTTCTCTTCTCAACATGAAAAAGAGTTCTCCGCAATAACAACTGATACAACTGGTAACAATGTGGTCCTGGGGAGCTTCGACAGGTAAGGCTGCGTCCAGATCTATCTGTGTGGGAGCCCTGCCCGTGCCAGCAACATGCCAGCGTAGTGCTTGTGCCGAGACGTCAATCGATCAGAACGGGGCAGTCCAGGTGGATTTTGGCAGTGGTGGCTAGCACGGTGCAGGCATAGCGCCGGCACATGAGCGATTACTTTTTCCTCAAATGTATTAGGTCGTCCCGAAAAGTTCTTGCGCACGATATTCAAAAATTCATAACTTCTGATTTTTCCAACCCATTTGACTGCTTTCATTTTTATATGAAAAAGTAAACCATGCTCTTTAAAAGGACGTCTTAGATGCTTGCCAATGATCATCTGTTGCATATATAGGAGCGATAGAATAAAATTAGTCAAAATTCGAATTTTCTGTGTAGGGTCATAAAAAATCGGAGACCTGCAACAAAAATCGGAGCAGTCAATATTATAGGTTCTTTCACCAGCTCTTTCTAACTGTGCAAAGTTTGCGCTGATTGAGCGTCCCTATGAAAAGTTATGATTTCCCTGAAAAATGCTAAAATAAATCAAATCCGCCCTTTTGTGTTGCTTGCTCGAAAATCATAACTTTTCATAGAGACGCTTGATTGGCGCAAACTTTGCACTGTTAGAAGGAGCTGGTAAAAAACCTACAATAGCAACTGCTCCGATTTTTGTAGCAAGTTTCCGATTTTTTATGACCCTACACAGAAAATTCAAATTCTGACCAGTTTTCTTCTATCGCTCCGTCTATGCAACAGATGATCACTAGTAAGCATCTAAGATGTCATTATCCATTTAAAAATGAATGCAGTCAAATCGGTTGAAAAAATCAGAAGTTATGAATTTTTGAAAATCGTGCGCAAGAACTTTCGGGACGACCTAATATATATTGAATTTCTCTCTTCCAGACTACGACTTTTTTCGTGGTCATTTCGCAGAGGAGCATGGGAAGAAGGCAATACTCTAGACATAAGTAACTTATATGTCTGTAGTGCTCTTGCATGGAAAGCTGATGGATCAGCAGTGTATTGTGTAAGTTGTCAACATTCGCTGAAGAATGGAATAAGGCAAGATTACTGACTTGGTGCCAAAATTTTTCCCTTGCAAGTACTGTGATGATACTGTATTGACGCGTTATAAGTGACGCAGCCCAGTAGAGTCAGAATGCAGCTTTTAGTAGAAGTTTCGAATTGTGGTTTCTGCTAGTAACTATATTATCTACAGTGGCGTACCCAGGATTTCGGCTCGGGGGGGGGGGGCGACAAAAAATTTTTATGAAGATGCGTGGCGTCAGCCACGCACTCCGAAAAAATTTTTGGGATGTTTCCCAAAATTTTTCCGGGCCCCTGACCCGCCGCGCCCCCGAAAAAAATTTTTTTACAAAGCTAGTTTGAATTTCTAAAAATTTTTGAAAATTATTTTAATTATTTACAAGTAAATACAAGTCCTCTGCACATTTTTATAAAATATTAAAGTTACTTTCAAAAATTTCGCGACCTATTCTTGGGGGGGGGGCCCCGCCCCCCCCCCTCCTCGGTACGCCACTGCTAATTTTATATCCCCCTGTTTTCGAAGTCCATCTCATTAGTCGGCTTTTTTGGGAAGTCAGCAGATTGCTGAAATGGTGGGAAGTAAATTGATTATTTGTTGATTTACCTCACTGTTTGTTAGTCTCAAATTTTTCTGATAACGTTTTTTTTGTATTGCGCTACTTTGTTGTTTTACCAATACAAGCTAACTCTAGTTGAAGAAGCTTAAAGACATACAAAAGGAAAATCTACAAATTGTTTGTGTTATATTCTGAGTCGCTAGATGTTCAGCGGTTGTATGATCAGATCTTACCTTCTAAAATTTAGTTTAAGGAAATCTTATCAAATTCTGATGGTTTTCACGACAAATACATTGCAACGGAAATATCAATCGAAATTGATTTCTTTCCCAAATTTAAGAGCTGAATTGTTGTTCCAAAAGCTTAGCACTTACATTTATCTCTGATATTGTAATTCTCAGGGAACCCTATGTGGTGGAGTAATATCGGTAGATTGCTGCCTACGAAGAGGAATGTTGAAAAGTCGTTTTGAAACAACATATGTCGCTCCATCGCATGTTATTGTACGCGATGTCACGACAAACTCGAAGACAAATTTGTTGTCGCAAAAAGGATATGCCATCGATAATCTCAAGGTCGGTTGCTTAAGTCACGTCCAGAGTAGCCCGTGTCACCGCCGTGCCGGACGATCTCACAATTCGTGGCGGATCCACGTCGGTTCCAGCATGACAAGAGCGCGGCGCTGGAACGGCGCTGGCACTTGAGCATCTCCGGGCGCTGCCATAATGGGTAGAATTTGCACTAAGTTTATGTATATGGTTTTAGGTGATGGGAAGGGATCGCTTTATTGTCGCCTACACGGCATCGTCACTGATCATAGCAAGTATTGAAACAGGACTTGCTTCAGAAATTGAATGGCAATCGGGAGGCAACGAAAAGTGGGTTTTTCTCTACTTTTTTGTCGCGGGGGAGGGGGGGGAAGGGATAAGTTTTGTGCTATCTGCCGTTTATGAAACGGATGCTCCTTGCTTCCTATTTTCAGATTCTATTTTGATTTCGAACACGTCTGCATAATAGTGAATGCTGGCGAAATAACGGTAGTAGAATACGGTCTCGATGGCCCATTAGGATGGGTGCGGACTGAACTCACCAGCCCCCATCTCATAAGGCAAGTTCAAGATGACAACCAAATTTTTATTTAATTATAATTTACTTTCCGAAAAAGCATCTCAGCTCTTAAAATGATTCGCATAGTGATATCTACCACTATTTAATTGTCTAAGGCTTAACAAGGGCACTATAGTATCTTCCCGTGGCAAAATCTTCAGAAGTTAGATGGTTGCATTAGGGGAAAATCGCTGGTTGTATCAGGAGAAAATCGCAACTCATTGAATTCTGTATAATTTTTCGAGTTTGATAACATGTCTAGTCGAAGTTAGTACTTCTACACACCTACTGAAGGCATTGTCCAGGCTAAATCTGACCCCTCCTATTAGTGCCGATCCTGAATGCAGGCCTCAAGGGGCATCTGCGTTGGTCCGGTCCTCTAATGTTATTTCTGAATGGACAAAGTGCTATCAAACCCGCCCAGATCCAAGCTCCGCCCACCCATGTACTGAAAGCCTTCCGCGCCCTCAAGACAGGCTCCCCAGAAATCGGGTATTTGGGGGGTTTTTGGGCAATTTGAGCCTCATAACTGTAATCAGGGTCACATAAGGCCCCAGAATGGCAAAAACAAGGGAGGTGAATTTTTGGGTGGACGCTGCCTTTGAAGGCAGCGTTCCACCAGACTGGGAGTAATGAGTTCCACCTGGCTCTCGTAATGATGTAATAGTAGACTCCCTGCCTAAGCGATGACTGAAGTTCGGAGCGAAAAAGGGGGTCTACCAAGCCTGAAATTTGCTCCGAAAGTGGGCCGAATCTTTCGGTAGGGCCGAACGCCGCCCACACGGCAATATCGATTTGCAGGGCCAGAGTGCGTATAACGCACATATCATGAGCGCAGGGACCCGCGACCACTCTGCGTCTCTACCTTGCGTGCACCTCGCACTCGCCCGATCCTACCGTAAGATTCGGCCCACTTTCGGAGCAAATTTCAGGCTTTGTAGACCCCCTTTTTCGCTCCGAATTTCAGTCATCGCTTAGGTAGGGGGTCTACTATTACATCATCACGAGAGCCAGATATCCCCAGTCTGGTGGGACACTGCCTTTAAGATGGAAAAAGGCATGACATCTATCGGGGTCTCAAGTGATCTAATGCACAATGCATTTAGATTCAAAATAGAAATTCTTCATCTATAAAGTATAAACAAATGAAAGTACGTCTATGACCAGGTATTTCGGAAATCATTTTCCACCATACTACACCAAACGTACATCCGATAGTTTTCCAGACAATGAATATCATATTCGTAATGAGATGTAAAAGGAATGTTGAGCTAAATCTACACACTTTAGCGTAAGCATCGCAAGAGGACCACCTGGATCACAGCCGTTGAAGAAGATAGCTTATCTCACGGATCCGACGTCACTGGCAATCAGTGAGTTTTTACTTCAATATGTTGTTAGAGCTAGATATTCGAATTTTCGGGTGCTTTTGTTTAGGGCAGAGATTTTTCAAATTTTAGTAGCTTTTAATAGCTTTATAATTGCAATAATTCGATAATGATTTCAAGTTGACTGAAGAATTGATTATATTTTCTGTTTTGTCAACAATTTGCAAGTACTAAGTAGTTTCATCAAGTCATGTTTACTTCTATAATTTCAGAGAATCTGTTGAATGATGAAACAGAAGTGGTTATCAATCACACAACGGTCATTGACTGGCTTGAGGTAAGAATATATCCTTCCGTAACCGAAAACATCATGAAATATTCTTCTGCCTTGCTTTCAAATTAGTGAGTCGATTTGGTTTTATCGAATGTGTTCAGCTGCAAAATTTATAGCATTTTGACAATAACGCTTCTCAGATGAAAAGAACATGAGATTTGATCACTCAAAAGCAGCGTCTAGGTAAAATCTGTGCTACCCCGATTAGTACCTAGCCTAAAAGCAGGCCCCAGGAGAAAAGCATCTGCATTCGTCCGATCCTCCATTGTGGTCTCTGAATGGAGAAAAAGGACCTAAATTAGCAAAAGTGCTTTCAAGCCACGCCCACCCTATCATGCTCCGCCCATGCAGGGACTGTTAATCATCCGCGTCTTCAGGACAGGGTTCCCGGGCAGGGGGGGGAGGGGGGGGTTAGGGTTTTGCACATTTTGCACTTCATTGCGATCACGGCCACGGAAAGGCCTCTGAATCAATTTTGGGTGGATGCTGTCTTCACATCTACTCTTTAATGGACAAAGAGAAAACATAAGAATATTTTTAAATGTCGTGGCCTCATGGGTATCATTCTGTTGTACAATTGCACATACTAGCGAAAAAATTTGCTTGGCTGCAACAAACACTGAAATAGTAAGAAAATTCTGTATTTTAGCTCAGCGAAAGTGCTACAAAGCTTCTTTTTCGTGATAAGCGTTCGCGTCTTACACTTTTGGATGGAAGTCGGCAAACGACTCTGCTAAATTTCTGTACTTACGTCCAATGGGTACCTGCCAGTGATGTGGTGGTAGCTCAGTCTGGTAATACTCTTCATGTTTGGTAAGTAAGGATAAATTTTGAAACTTTTTGACGTAAAGAATTAACTCTAGGTATAACCCGTCGATACCGGATCAAGTCACTACGGTAGCAATAAAAGGAGAGGTGGAAGCGGTTTTAAGAGATGCTGAAAGAACTGAGGTCATAGTGCAGGTAAATAAAAAGTTGGTGACATGAATTACTAGAAAAGATAAAGAGTTTATGTTGCAGGAATCCAATGCTAAAGTTGCCTATGAACTGGATAATGTCCAGATAGATTTTGGATCGGCTATTGAGGCCGGAGATCTCTCAAGAGCAGCTGCTTTCTTGGACCATTACAGAGTTGCTGATGATTCGTAAGTGATTTTGTAGTGTCTATATTGTTAGGAAGATATAGATAAGTATCCTGAAGCAATTTGATATTGCTCACGTTGACAATCCTATTGAATTTATAGTTTTATGGCGGTGACATTTCTGTAACTACGTCAATACGCATGTACAGTATGAAATGTGGACATTTTTAACTTTTTCCAATCCAAAAAATTCTTTACATCCCTTCCTTCTTCATTCATTAATTGCCATTAACTGCGCCCACAATCTTATAAGCTGTTGATCGCCCACAATCACGTGCATCGATGTCCGAGCGGTTAAGGAGATTGACTAGAAATCAATTGGGCTCTGCCCGCGCAGGTTCGAATCCTGCTCGATGCGAACGTTTTTGCATTCACACCTTGTTTCTTCACATATAAGCCTTACTTGGCTAACATACCTGGACAACACTTTGCAAAAGGCTGTGAGGATTAAAAACCAACTTTTACTTCACTTATTGAGTCATTAAGACAAGCAATTATCTTAGAACACGCACTTCAAGCAGAAATTTACGTTTATGCGCGAAAATTAGTGCGAGTATTCACGAGAACTTTCAGAGTGACTTTTAATGCATGGTTTTCTGAAACTAGGGAGGCGGGGGGGGGGGAGGGAACTAAAACCATCTAGGGGTATATGCATCATTTCTTTTTTTTCTGCAAATTCTTTTGAAGTAAATTTCACCTGTATAAAAAATATCTGACTGTCGGCTTGTTTGGTTGGGTCGGCTATTAATTTACAGCTCTTCTCTTTCTCCCTTTTGCTAAAGATACTAAAACAGTTCAGCTATGAGAGGAAAGCGCGCTCGAAACAAACAAAGTGATGCTAGCGCGAAGTGATGCCGTGAAGCGTTGCAGAGAAGGGTATTTTTGCTGATTGACATGGCCGACAAACTGCAAGTCTTCAGTTCCGCTGTTATGACCACATTTGTGCAGTTGCGGATAGTCGCATCGTCCAAAATGTAAAAAAATATAGACATCACAAGCTAGTTTCTCTCCTAAACAGCACGATGAGTTTGCAGAAAAGAAGAAGAGGAAGTAGGATCTTGTAAAACCATGTGAGGTGCAGCATGCTTGACTCTGGTTGTTACTAAAAAAGCTCCAAAACACGCAAATGAAGGCATTTTCTTTGTTTCTAGGTTCCAAAATTCAAATACAGAGGAATGAATAAATATTTTTTGCTTTAGATACGTGATGTGGAACAAAGTCGCGCAGCTAGCCCTGGACCAAAGCAATTTCTTCATAGCACAGCGATGTTTCGCAGCTCTTGGGGATTTTGGAAGAGCACGAGCTGTTTTTGTAAATTCTCTTAGCTTTCTACTAGTAAGGCTAAAGATGTAGAATTTTACAGAAAATAATGGAATTAGCTGAAGTTGCAGCCAAAGAGATTGGAGGTGATGGTACACAATCATACAAAGTCAGAGCAAGTGTGGCACAGCTGAGACGTAAATTCAAGGAAGCTGAGAAGATCTATCTGGAACAGGTTGGAACTAATAAAACGTAATTTAAGCAAACGGCAGCTCGTATGGCTCATTTTAACCAAGAACATCAACCTTAAAATCTCGCCCATTGCCATAGTCCTTGCGAGCACCAGCTTTCTTGATTACGGTACTGGACGAAAATTTATGAGTCGAATTTCTTAGCCACGAATAAATCTTATAAGCTGCCACTTGGACAATGGCTCTCTTAAATCCTGCCAGTAAGAATTCAAAGAATAAGTCCAGCTATCCAAGTTTCTCAATGCACTCTCGTCATTTGTGATAACTGGACTTTCCTATTTTCAGAATGCTGTGGAAGAAGCTATTGAGATGTATCAAACTCTCCACAAATGGGATGAAGCACTAGAACTGGCAAAGGCAACGGTACTTAACTTCTAAAGTCACCATCTTCCCAACCAAACTTTTTATTTTGCAGAATTACGGTGGCTATGAACAGCTGAAGGCAAATTACTATAGGGCCCTTTTCGATACAGGACAAGATGCAAAAGCTGCAGAAGTAAGCCCGTCATTATTTTTATGTGGCCCCTGCTCGATTCTTTATTCTGACGTATTTACAGATCAAAATAGCAGATGGTGACGTTGCTGGAGCTGTGAATCTGTATCTGAAAGCCAAACAACCGGTACAAGCTCTATCAACAGCGCTCACGGATCCGGCACTGGCTAAGGATGATCAGTTAATGTCAACTATAGCTGCTCAGCTGATGCAGTCGCAGATTTTCGACAAGGTAAAAACAGTGCCTATAATTGTATTTTGGATTTTGTAGAATTAGTTATGACTTTTGAAATTTTCACTGATTCCTTTGAATATCTTGTTATAAACCGACCTACCGTAAACCAAAGTCAGTCTCCTCAACTCATCTTGGGCTGTTTCCCTTAGTATTTTCTTGTTCTACATCATGATTATAGTACGTGATGGTCCCTGACCCCGCCACCGTTTTCTTTTTTGTTTCGGATAAATTTTCTCTTTGGAAATAAGCATTCTTACTAATCTCTGAAATAAGCGGAGTTCCTATGAAGGTTTACGGCCGGGGTGCCCATTTTATAAAGTTTTATAGAAGATTTTCGACCTCACCAAAGTCTCATATGAATAGAAAAATAATCTTTTTTTTCAAGACAGGTTCACAAGCGAGAATGGCGTTTCTTCGGCAAAGAGCAAAACCTGACGCTTTCTTGTTAATTATTGATATGATAGTACTATATTGATTATAGGCTGGAGAATTATATGAACATATGAAGGATTTCGAAAAAGCCTTAGAATGCTATGTCAATGGAAAAGCCTTTAACAAAGCAATACAGGTAAGTACTGCAGTTATGTTGACCTCGTCTTGTGCTTAAAAATGATTTCAGCTGGCACGATTCTCGGCTCCTGAACAAGTGGTGAAACTTGAAGAGGATTGGGGTGATTATTTGGTGTCAATGGGACAACATGAAGCTTCCATAAATCATTTCCTAGGTGGGAGGTTTGATTTATTTTTCGAAACCATTTTTGCGAAAAAAAGAGTAGTGACGATTTCAGAAGCGAACAGTTTAACGAAAGCTGCAGAAGCAGCTATACAAGCAAAGGAATGGAGCAAAGCTGTACAGATTGCCGATGTTATCCAGGATCCGCAAGTTTCCAGCGATTTCTACGGACGTATTGCTGCGCATTATGCAACAACCGAAGAGCTTGACGTGAGTTATAGTAATCATCTTAAGGCTTCGGCCAGAGTCGTTAATGCCAGTGCCGTGCCAACGCCGATCCAACGTCGCTCCAGGAATGCGCCTGTGCCGTGTTAGCACCGTGCCGGAATGTCATGTAGCATCCAGCACTGCGCTGTCGCGAAGCTGGCACGCGCAATGCTCCTATCATATAAAATTTTTAGAGGGCTGAGCGCCTGTATTTGGAAGCAAATCTTCAGAAGGAAGCTATTGCGATGTATATAAAACACAACCATTGGGCTGATGCCTACAGGGTAAACTCTTTAGATTATGACTGGCTTTATAAGAATCTGAATTTTGTTTGTAGTTATCAGAAGAATTCCTTGGTAAAGAAGAAACATTTGCTCTATATGAGGCTAAAGCTGAAGAACTGGAGCAACAGGGACGATATGCTGATGCTGAACAGGTGAATTTTCTCTCAACAATAAGAAAAATCAATATTCTTGTAACTTTGATGATTTTCAGCTCTACGTCTCGATTGGAATGTCAAACAGAGCTGTAATGATGTATAGAAATGCAGAACGAAATGATGACGTAATTCGACTGGTTGAACAATACCATGGAGAACATCTGCAGGTACAATTAGCCCCACCCCTTTTCGAGAAAAAAATCTGCAGAATTCTGTGCCCTTTTTAGGATACACATAAGCGACTGGGAATGGAGCATGAAGAACGTGGAGACTTACGCCTTGCTGAAGAGGAATACCTCAAAGCTGGGGATGTTAAAGTAATGCTACAGAACGTAATTTGTTAAAAATTCAACGATAGTAATTTCAGGCAGCTATAAATATGTATAGAGAAAAAGAAATGTGGACAGATGCGTATCGTTTGGCAAGAAGTGAAGGAGGCGAACAGGAACAGAAACAGGCAAATCACATCGAAACATCAGAAAATTATTTCAAAATGCATTTTTCTATAGGTAGCATTGCTTTGGGCGAAAAGTTTGGGTGGAGAGGCCGGTGTGAAATTATTGAACAAATATGGAATGCTCAATGAGGCTATAGATCACTTTAGTGAGATTGGGTAAGCTCTTTGAAAGCATGTTGAAGAGTTCAAGCGAATCTGAGTACCTAAAATTTTTTTATGCGAAAACTGAGGAGTAACTAGGACATAATGCTCAAATAGCAGCTCAAATAATTTAATTATGAAAGGAGAATTTTACTTTAGGCTTTCGCCCAGTACCGTACCCACTCTCACAAGCAGAACGATCGGCCCGATCGAGTACGGTGCTGGGCGAAAGTTCAGAGCTGAATATCTCCACTACTTCTGAATCACTTGAGCTGCTACTTCGGCAATTTGTTTGCTGAGGCTTCTTAATCCTTGATTCACTAAGAAGTCCAGGTATCCAGATTCGTGTGGACCCTGCCTTTCACTGATACGAACTATAATATCATTTCTTCGTGAATATTCTAGGACATTCGACTTTGCCTTTGAATTAGCAAGACTGGGAGCGAAAGAAAGACTACCTGGAGTAGGTTTCTTGTATTGAAATCAAATTTCTCAACTTAGCCACATTTTATTGTTTTAGGTGCACATGCGTATGGCAGTACAAATGGAAGAAGAAGGACGACTTGATCAGGCTGCTCATCATTTTATCGAAGCTGGCAAACCTTCCGAAGCTGTTGCTATGTATGTACATGAAGGCGATTGGGCAAATGCCGAGCAAGTAGCGAAGTTAGTTATCCTTAAGTTCATTTCCAGAAAATTTCTATGTAAAAAAATTTCTTCTACAGAGAACACGCGCCCGAGGCATTGTCAGACGTGTTCATAGCCCAAGCACGTAAAGCACTAGAAGAAGAAGATTGTCATCGAGCAGAAAGCTGTCTTTTACGTGCTAATAGGCCAGACATCATTCTAAAGTGAGTTTCAATATCAAATTTCGATTTCTGGAAAAACCAACAATTTTATGATTAAGATTCTACCAAGAAAATGGAATGTGGCCAGATGCATTGAGAATTGCTAAGGAGTATCTTCCACACCAGCTGCTGCAACTCCAGGCATGCAATTTTCTTTGTTTCCAAAACTTCAAAAATAGAAAAAAATGTCTCCAGGAAGATTTCGAACAAGTAGAGCTGCTTGGAGGTGGACGTGGTGTGAATTCTTTACTAGCACAAGGTCGTGCATTTGAAGAACAACGAGATTGGGCTAAAGCTGTTCAGGCTTATCTGAAGGTGTGGTTCTCATTTCCATTTACAAAAAAAAATCTATTCAATTTTTAGGTTAACGCAGGCACTACAAATGACGCTTCATTGATAAATGATGCTCTTTTGAAAAGTGCTGATCTTGTGCTACGTTTTCTTGCTTCCACTGATGAAGAGGTTTTGCTGTTTTGCAAACCGTAATAAAATTATTAACATTAGTCTTATAACTTCAGCTGGTGATGAGAGTTGTCGATGCTCTCGAAGCAAACAAAATGTACGAAAAGATGGCTGAACTATTGATAGCCATTGGACAGAATCGACAAGCAGTGGCAGCTTTGGTTCGAGCTCAGCAATGGTCCAAAGCTAAACAGGTTTGTTGCATTGTCGTTGGTTTTCGAAATTATTAGAAAAATATTCAAAGAAATTTCCGTGTGCAAATTTTAGTGAAGGAAGCATAAACAGGGCTTCCCAAACAGTATGTAAGAGCTGGCTATAAATTGAGTTTCAAGTAAAGAGATTAAGCGATCGCCCGCAGTTATTGTAGGGTTACGGTAAAAACTTCCAAATCAGCTTTGAAAACCTTACCTCTAGAATTCTCTACATTGTTTTTTTTTATTGACTCGATCTCATGACTGCGTATCAAAAGTTCCGAATTCTCCAAAATCATTGGAAGTTGAAGGGGTTGAGAAACAAAGAAATAATATGTAGAAAGATGTTGTGTTTTAATTTGCACAGTCCTTATTTTGAAAAAATGAGGTTACTTTCTATTGTTAATATTCAGGCACACGCCATTCTTGTCCACATGATCTACTTAATCCACTTGATTCACTTCGCCATTGGTCAGTTTAGTGAACTGACCAACAGCGAAGTGGATGAAGTGGATCAAGTGGATATCCGCTTCGTTATTGGTCAGTTCACTGATTTGACCAATAACAAAATGGATCAAGTCCATCAAGTGGATAAAATGGATCAAGTGTGGCGCGTGCCTTAGAAGTGCCCGTTGAATAGTTAAATCCCTTTTTAAAACATAATCTAATAATAATTATAGGTCGCGACAGAGCTGGTCCCAGATATGGTGGCCGAGGTTGAAGGACAATACAAGGAATGGCTGACACAAGAAGGTCGAGTTGGAGAGCTGATTGACGTCGATGTCATATCAGCTATTGACTTGCTTATTGCTAAAGATCAGTGGGAGAAAGCACTGGAGACAGCTCGACAACAGAAAGTAAATCCTTTTAGTTTACTTTTCATTTAGATGCTAATAAATTTAATAATTTAGCACAAACCTCTTCTGGACAAATATGTGGCACAGTATGCTGCTGTGTTGCTTGAACACAATGACATAGATCTTATGCTCAGAGTTTTTGAAAAATATGGAGCTTCGTCCAACCCTGCAAACTTCAACTTGTACAAACTTATACTGGACAAAGTAAGTCTCTACATCTGCTATTTCTAATAGAAATATAAAATCAGGGTTTTAGACAGTGGCGCAGTCATTCAGCACACCTTCAGATGAGTTTAATGCACTTAGTCCTATTCGCGATCTTTTTCTTTCTGTGTATGAGCAACTGGTCAAGGAAAATTCTGAAAGCCAATATGTAAGCTTTGAAAAACAAGAAAAATACTGCAAAACCTGAATTGTTTATTCCAGATTTTTGAAAGGTATGTCCATGCCTTGCATCTGATGACGATCCGAAGTGCAATGGAGGTTAGTGTTACTGACTTTCGCACGAGTCTCTGAGCAAAGAGATTTTTCAGGACATACAAACAGACGATTCGCAACAACTTCGTCTGCAACAATCCATCTCTCTTCTGCGTTATTCTGATCTCATTCCAGCAGATAGAGTTTTCTATCAAGCTGGAATGGCAGCTAAGGTGAGCATTTCAACCATTTTGATATTTTTTCTCGCAACGTCCAGAGTCGCCTATGTGCCAGCTCCGTGCCAGTGCCGTTCCAGTGCAGTGCCAGGACGTCGATAGACCGATCAAACGGAGCGCGTCGTCATCGGTTCCGGCACGGCGCTAGCATAGGCGACTGTGAACGCAGCTATAAACCTTATACCCACAAAATGTCGCATAGGATGCTGGTGGAGACTATGCACCGTTAGCGTTCCTGCTGTTAAATCATTACCTGGATCTCGTCGACGCTATTGATGAAGGTAAGCTTCAGGAATCTTCTATTTAAACCTCAAAGTAAATATACTTGTAGGTGACGCTTCACTCGTTGATTACTCTCCTTTCGAAGGAACTGACATCCCATCTGAAGTGCCGCTTCCTGAACGACCATGGGTAGAGGTAATAAATTCCAGTAGTATGATGTGTAATATAGTAGCTTCAACGGCTCACTGTAGTCTGCGGTTATGACAATACTTGCGCGGAAAAAACTGTTGCGATTGAAATGCCACGAATAATTGCGCGCGTGAAGCTCCCTCGCTATTTTTTTACGCGCATTTGTTGTCAGCAAAGCTGACCATATTTGCTGTTGAGTCCATTAGACATTAGTGACTTTCTTCCATCATATCCTTTTTCGCTTAGAGTTCCATGCATGAAGAAATCAAAGAGTGGGTACTGGCCACTTCGGTGGACGATGGAGCCAGACGAGAGCTAAAACACGACTCGCGCGGCCTTTTCGAAGCAACCATCGAGGCTAACGGCGAAAAATGGCCTGAGTGTATTATTACTGGTATGATGGGTCCGTTTACTCTGAAAGTTCCTAATCTTCTCATTTTAGGTTACCCAATAACGCGGACAAAAGTGGATTTCGGAGATCTTTGCGCAGACAAAGACAACCTCAACCGATTTTTGATAGCAATCAAGACCACTCCGACCGACCAGCTTATCAATGTACAGGAATTTATGTCGAGATGGGCCGATCATCCACTAAACATGTCATTGTAACGAGTGAAAAAGTGTATGAAGATGAATTGAAAATTATAAGCGATTCAGCAATGACGCATTGTTCCTTAATCAAACACTTAGACTGTTTATCATAATAAATTTATTTCTAAGGTAATTTCTGATTAGGCTGGAATGCGAGGAAAACTGCAAAGAGTTTCTAGAGTTTTTCTTTCTCAGGTGGATAATCTATCTAAGAACGTTATTTTTTGCTGGAAGGAATGAGATTGCGAGAAACTTTCATATTCAAAGCATAATTTTCCGCTCATTCGTTTTATTGCCAAAATCAAATGCGAGAAACTTTCATATTTCGAGCATAATTTTCCATTCGTTATATTGCTAAAATCAAACGAAAAGTTTTGAAGTAAAAATGTGGAGTTTGTTTCCAATTTTCGAAAATAGTAAAATGCAACGCTCAGAAGACTTTTTCAAAATTCCAAGGCAGAGGCACATATCTCCTAGCTGACATAAAATTTACAGTCCTAAGCAAAAACCTGTTTTTATATAAAAATCAAAATAAACAAAACTACAATAGCACTTATTGCGCTCCAGTCGATATTAGCAAAGTTTGTGACCTTTGTCGTTAGAGCAATCAAAGTATGAGTCACAGTTGCACCGCGTCTGTCAGCGAGGTGAGGTTCCTTCATGTACTTTTGGATTGCGATAAACCCTCCAAACTATTTTGAACGTTGGTAGAGAAGAATTTGAAGTTTGAATTCCAAAGGAAATGCTGGTGAAATATTTTGTGTATCTAAAGATAAACTCAAGCAATACTGCAGATCGTATTGAAGTCCATTTTCGTTATGAACAAGTATCATAATTTCTTACGCATAGCACAATTTTATTAGTTTGTCACATGAATTTTGCTACTACTTAGCGGAAAAAAACTATACCTTTACCGGAGGACTCCCCATTTTCAAAGTATGTTGATTATTGTGGATTTTCGACGTGTACATGTCACACAACATTTTTCTGAAATTTGTGCAAACTTTTTATAATAACTTTCCAACTCGCGTCAACAGCTTGCTGTCAGACTGCCTTTGTTTTACTTCCGATGCTCACAGAACTCCATATGAAATCTAAAAAAATGGAAAGAATGAGAGTTTTTTTTCAATAAAAAAAAATTAATATGGAGGTGCTCTTAGAAAGTTGGATTTATATTATAATCATTGTAGATGAAGCTGATGGGCCGCCCTACATCCCTTCCCGATTTATGCCAAATATGAGACTTTGCCGAATTTTCTAGATCAGAGTAAGGCGAGTAATGTGAACAAAACCTGCGAAATGAAATGATTTTACAATGAGCAACCTCTGTACAAGCTTCTATGGTTCTTTATGTCTCTTACAACGGAAGAATACTTGGTCGAAGCGGGGTTTCCATGTAAAATGTATATCTCTTATAGAGCGAACGTTGATTCCAAATCAGCTTTTCTTTTCTGCAAAGCGCTTCCGGGAAGGGAGTTCTGGGAATTTTTCGGTGAAAATCTAATGATTTGGCTAAGATAAAAACAGGTGTTGAGATCTTTCCGACGCTTGGAGTAATGGCTGACAAAAGCTTATTAGATTGAAGGTAGTATAGCATAAAACGCCCTGGTAGTTATCATAGCCCAATTCGAGCTCATAGATGGCACTTTGAATGATTTTATGCTAGCCGCGCGTACGAAGTTTTGTTCCAAAAAATTCGCATAATTTCCCTTTCAGAAGCGCTTTGCAGGTATAGAAAGCAATCTTGGAATCAGCGTTTTAAGCTCTATAAGACAGTATTAATTTCATAATGGAACGCCACTTCGACCAAGTATTCTTCCCTTATTAGATAGATTGGTCCAATTACGGGGCTATTTTCGAATACCTTCTATCGGACTTGTGGTTTAGCCACAAGTTTATTATACCGCTGTAAATGGCTGTTCCCTTCGGTAAAAAAAAACAGAGAAACTGTATTGGCTTTGAATACATAATGGCTCTATACATGCACTCTATATGGTACTATGAGGCTGTTGGGACAGTAAATGGTTAGCTTTTAGAAACCTAAATTCTGACCAATTCCCAAATGCAGTATAATTACCATAATTCAGGAACTTTGAAATTGTGAAGTTCGTTTGTGCTATTACCGAATAAGAATGACACATACTGGTGCAAGACAAGTTGCCATCTTGAAGTTGGGATTAAATCGCGCTTTTTACAATTATTTAGATAATTCATTCATGCGGGTAAATTGTTTACATTTTCGAAAAGATTGATTTGCGAAGTTTCTCGAAAGGGGACTACCTCCATTATCTTCGTCATAAATAGATGTCAGAAGCCTGCGAAAATTTTGAGGATATCACAAGAAAATATTGAAGGCGGAAAGCCAGGTCGTCTAGGAAAACTCCTACGCCCGCCCAAAAAAATTTGTGTGATCGCCACTATTCTCTTTCGAAATGTGGACGTAAGGTGTAACAACAAAAATCTCAGAGTAGATAGATCAATCAAATTTTTCCACACTGCAAAAAATTTTGTTGAGTAAAGTTTATTGATACTGCGGAATTTTTTGCAGCTTGACTGGTTTTCTATTTCATAAAAAATTCCTCCTGCGCCAGTGTGATTCCAGTCCCTGCGTGGTTGCGAAACTGTCACACTTTTTTTTTGCGAATTTTGAACAATGTACATTGTCCTTAACTGAGATGTTCAGCGTTTATTAACAAATCTACACATAGGTAGTTGCTTTAGCCGAAAAACCAAAACGATGGATAAAATCTAAGGAGACATACCAAAGGAATATTTATCTTGGCAAATCTTTCTTGACTATGTTGTCACTAGTATGTTCTACAAAAATTTTCGCTTCGCGCCATAGAGGCGGATGTGGGGAAGGGAAATCAAGAATTGACGATTTGAAAAGTGGTCGGAAAAGCAGGAGGGTAGATGCCAGTTTTTGCCACTCCTTCTAAGCCTTTGAAAGCTTTGTTTTTTGTAATCTTTTAAGCGTTCCAAATCGTTTCTTACTCTATAAAGTGTAAAGGAGCAAATCTCAAATTTTGCTATTTTGCAACCATCGTTACCAATTTTCTGTTCGCTACATGTTTCTTTTGTTATACTGTATTCTAATATCGTCTGAAATATGAAAACTAGATTGGAAAGCACAGAGCCCCCCGTATCGTAGCGCGCTCCGATCCATATGGTGCATGGTGCACTTTTGGAAGATCTCAAGATTGTCGCATTTTTGCACAATAGTCAGGAAAACATGGCCGAATAGGGAACATTTTACGTAAGTAGTCTTATACGCATTCAGTCCTGTATATTTGCATGCATGACTAGATTGAGACGAGCTCTGGGTACACAAGGAAGATGTATTCACATTTTTTGAGACTACTTCTTGATTAAGCGTTCATACTTGTGCTTTGCACCTCTGGATTGTTCAATATATGGTAGCAATCTGAAACATGTTTGAGCTAGCTGAACAGTTACTCGAGTATCGCAGTTCTAGGATGTATGTTAGGCTTTGTTTACATGACTGCTTTTGCAGAGTGAGGAATAAACCAGGATTTCCACATATTGTTTTGATTGTCTTCTAGCAGAGAGAACAAAACAACTGTGATTCAAGCGCGGAAGGCGTAAGTTTTAGCGCTGACTTCGCTCATTTTGAAGGTCGTTGCTTTAGCACTGACGCAAAAATTTTTTAGGTGAGCAGCGTTCCCATGCGTCTGCTACACGGCTCTTCAGTGACATTCAGGGTTCTCGGAAAATGATGTGAGTTTTTCGTTTAGTGGACATGATTTGAAGTCGATATACTCCAAGGACTGTTCCCTTTTCGTAATTTTTCATAATTCTTCTCATGCAGACCAACGTAACACCTTGCTTTTAGGTTCTTTGAAATGAAGCCTCCTCGATTTCTAACATCTGTAAATAATCGTTAGCATGGAAGCCGACTGGTTTGGATAGTTGGCTCATCATGTTTGGTGGTTGACGCTATAACATAATGGTAAACCCAATTTTTGCTTTTATTGTCATTGGCTTATTGCATATCCATGTCAAACGAATGGACTTTATGCCCATTTTTTGCAGTGGTGAAGATGGAGGATCATATTTTGCGTCTACATGCTACCTCTAGAAAGACTATGCCATTTCTTTGAAGCACGACAGTCATTGTGATTCGGTGAGCGTTTGAAGATCTCGAAATTAGCTTTTGGGTAGTATCAGGTATACGCAGTGGTTAATAACATCACAATATTTGATATTTCACTATATAGCGCTCTCGAATGCATATTTCATGTTCTTCAGTTTATATCGCTGCGGGGACAACCGAATCAATCGTGGCAGAAATAATCAGCCGCAACCTAGGAGAACCTACTCGATGAAGAGGTGGGCTGAAGATTCAGATTTACGTAAGAAGATTCAGATTTACGAAGGGGAAATTCTTTGTTTGGAAATACATGGAAATTCTTTGTTTCATCTTTTATGTGTTCGTTGCACTTATTTTCCGCATTGCTATGCTCAGATGACTCATTAGTTGGGTTACTGGGATATGCTTGTTTTTGTTTCCATAATTGTTTCTGACCCTATTGAGGTATTGTCGATTTCAGCTGAAACCTATGCTGTCGTTTATGAAACGTTAGTATAAAATGTTTGCTAAATGTTGTTCTGAGTAGTAAGTGGATGCGTTTCCAGCACATACTGGTGCTCCCTGGTGAAGCCGACTTAGGTTAGGTTGAATTTCAATCATATATTGCATTGTCATCATTTTCTTTCGGTTTATCTCCATCTTCCTTTTTGCCTTTTTATGCATTCAACGCCATAGTAAATTTAGCCAGCGAAGACCGTTAGCCTGCGCTTGTTTTTCCCTAATTCAGTGATGAACACTATTTATGCTCTTTTGCAGAAGTGAAGTAGTGAGGCATATAAATTGGAAACGAAATTGCACTGCATACATCGCGTAGTATGAAGCAGGCTTTTTGTGGAAAGGTTGTTCACACTCTTACAATTTTTTTTCACAATCTTGCAATGGGTTTATTTTTCGTGAACTGTGCTGTTTGCTCAAATATCAGCAAGGTTAGCTCTGGTAAGGGGTAGGTAGTGTATCTTAGTGGGTTGGCACAGTAATTACTTAGGTCCCACAAAACCTTTCAAACAGTCGAAAATGCGCTGGCTTCACGCATTTTGCCGAGCGCTTGAATGCGTGCTTGATTTGTTCCCAACAGGAACACTAGTCCTAATATTGGCTTCTATACGCTGTTGCACGGTGCCTTGTTGACATGATTAGCGTGAAAATTATGCATTCTAGCCGTGACGGGCAAGGGAAGAAAGCGGTATCTATAGTTGACAGTTCTTCACCATTTTGCATTTGTGAATTGCTTGAAATGTCAAAATATTCTTGCTGCTAGACAAATTTCACAAAGTAACGCTACAGCGCTGTTTCTGTAGCTGTGTTTGATCATAGTTGTTGAATTTTAGGTAAGGAGCTTGGTACAATACTTGTATTTGTGATTTTTATTGTAGCTAGTGAATCTTCAAAACAACTTTCTTCATCCTCTGAACTGATGGAGGCGAGGGGATGGAGATTTGACAAAACATTTACAAAATTCCATTGAAAAGACTGCTAAATTCAGAAGATTTCTTGGCACTGTGCTTACTTTCCGTTAGGGTAAACCTTGGAGTGTTATCAGTCTTACCTGTTCGCATACATAGTCTTCATCGGATACCTCCATATCTTGCTTGCTTTCAGAACTTGTTTTTGGGTAGGATCACGCTCCATGCTGGGCGCGTCAGCTGCCATTCAGAGCCTATTGCAGCTGTTCATTCTTTATTACGTATTGGCTGTATTGCTCGGAGCCCCTTTGATTACTGAACTGTATTCAACGTCTTTCCTTGCTTTTTGGTTGACGATTTTAACTGGGCTACCCTTGGTCTACATATACAAAGGAGATCATCATCTGAAGCAACTCATTTTCGAGGGAAGGTACCGTTTTTTTTTCACTAGGATTTTTTTATGATTGCTTATGCATTGCATTCGAACTCTCTTGTGTGATGCCAGTCTTGCCTCTGTGAGTGAGCTTATTTTTAGGTGGAAAACTCTATCGGAGCTCCTAGCCCATAGGGCTATTTGCGGGGCTGTTGTTGGCGCCTGGTTGGGAGCGTTTGTGATCCCACTGGACTGGGATCGTTGGTGGCAGGTACTTCACACATTCTTCATATATTGAATGCTTACTCCGATTTAGCGTTATCCATTTCCGAATTTTGTTGGTGCGACGGGTGGTTGGGTGTTGGGCGTGTGCTGTGGTGAAGTACAGTGGTTATTCGTCCGTCGTTTTCGAAGAGAGAAATTGCCATAGGTACTTTTTTGGTTTTGACTTTCGTTCATAAACGTTTCTCATTAAAATCTGTAGATTCTATGGCCTCCAGCACAAACTCCTACATACCTCATGGGAATGGTACTAGTTCGCTACCACTAGAGGGGTTATTTGGACATTATCGCTTTGCTGATGTTCCAAAGCTTAAAGCCATTTTCTATGCAGAGTTCGATATAGAGATCGGACCTGTGATACGTTATCAGGTTTGATCTGCTTAGGTGCTGTCATCGAGTCATGCGACGTTTAACCATTTAGATCCCCGAAGATCAAAATGTAGTGTCCCCTGAACGGTTTTCCGCGTTTTCGGCTGCCATCATCCCCAAAGACGAAATGTTGAATCGACTGATTAAACTGAACTTCCGCGACTATAAAGTTATGGGGCATCCGATTGGGCTTAGTAAGTTGCTAGTTTTATCAATTTTTTAAAAAGATTTTCTTTATTTGATTCATACTCTTTTTTTCGCTTCTGAAGTTTAGGATGGTTACGGTATGATTAGGTTGCCTGAGTGCATTTGTTTTCAGAGCACGATACATGGTACGGTCGAGGTCAACTAAATTTTAACATGTGTTTCGTGGTTGCCAAAGAATCCACCATTGATTGCATGTATGAACCACTAGTGCAGAAATTTGCCGAGTATCTTGTGGATTTGGAGATGGTTGGTAAATTGGAAATAAAAATCTTCGTGCCAAATTCAAGGCTCACAGGAATGCGGGTTTCTTCACATCGCTAGTAAACGTGCACAGCTTCCAACCATTATGCGAAAAGTTTTCACCGACTTGAACACATGTGGTGGGTTATTCTGACATTCTGTCGGATTTCGGCTTTCTCGTTTGTTAGCTCAAAATCCTATTCTTACCTATCTGATCTCTTGGAAGATTCTGTTAGATTCAGGCGAATGCGTGCTGCCGGTCACTGAATTGACGACGCTCTATCTCAAATTATGTCCGTCATACAGAGGTGTAGAACCGCCCAAGGTGAGTGAGAACGTAGACCCATCTGTTACCTTGATGTATCTATAGTGGCTCTTCTGTTGGGTACATAATAAATTTATTTCACATGCAAAGTTAGCTTTGCATTGATGGAAGAAGTTGGAGCAAAGTTAGCATAAAATCAATTTAAAGGTATTCAAAGGTATTTCTATTTAGGTAAGCTTATACATGGTTCCAATGTTTATTAGAGCTGTGCAACTTACTCCAGCAATCATAGATAAAATGGATGTTCTTTCTCAGAAGGTAAGTGTTAGATAAAGTTGATTTGCATAAATGAGATTTGTGCATTTGCGCGTTTTATGTGAGCTATTTCACTTCGCCGTTATATTCTCAGGTGCGTAAAAACACCTAGGCTTGTAAAAGAGTTACTTGTTAGCAAAGTATTTGTAAACGGGTTACTTGTTAGCAAAATATCTGCTGAGGCTGTACCGCTTACTTGCTTTGATAGAATCGAATAAGAAAATAAACCTAACTGACACATTTTAGAGAACTTGTCTGAAAGTGTTTCCAAAGTGGTGCTGTATAGGTCGTACAAAAGTGCACATTTTTTTTCACTATCCCTGCCTTTGCTCTGAAGCCCGCTTTATTATTTCTTGATGAAAATTGATTTTTGAAGTTGTTAATTGTAGATCATACCTAAGATTGACGGAATAAGATGCGTGAAGGAGATTGCCACTGAGGTAGAGATTGATGCGGATTTGGTGATGCGATGCGTTAGGTAAGCTTATAGTTCACATTGATATCGACTTCTTATCCACTACTACGTTAAGGAACTTGCATTTCTATGAGTGTGTGAGTTTGGTGCCTCTTTTCTTGTACTCGAATACTTACGTGGCGACAGAGAAATTGCATGATTTCTACAATGATCATGCGCAACGAGAGGTGCTAAGTTTGTCTTTTGTACACTTTGGATATGTTCACTCAAGGTTCCAGCCCTAAAGCACATTTTCAGGATTGTCTTCAGTTTGCTCGCCATCGCTTATCTGATGGTGAATTAGGCCCGGTTCCAAAATTTTGCGATGTCTTCAGATTACTGATGAGCCTCAAGGTTTTGATTTGTCGCAAATAATTATCTTTTCAATGGAATGTATTTAGTGCGGAGTTACACTACGCGAATGGTGTGACTTTATGATGCCACGTCGGTACAATGTAGACGAGCGACGTTTAGTTCAGTTTGGTATGCATCATCAGTTTCTGCGGAAGTTGTCCATATATCCCATTGCAACAATCCCAACTAATGAGGTGGAGAGATCAGGAAAGTGAGTTTTCCTTCTACTGTTGTTGATTCTTTCGGTATGTTATTCTTTATATTTCATTTTTGTTGCACTCGGCGGTGGTTCCTCTATGTTCGTCTTCTGTTAGAAATGTTTTTCGAAAATTGTTTGGGGTTGTCTGCGAGATCATTTACCTCGTTTTTTTGCTTGGCATCAGAAGAGGATCAAGACCAAATTTTCGAAGCATTGTAAACAAGCATCTCTTCAAGGTCCCTCCTCCTTGCTATGGAAAGGACAGCAAGAAACGTGCATTGCAATTTGAAATTTGGACTGCAATTTTGTGAACAATCAAGATTACCCCTAAACTCTAGCTCTGCACACCAGTGGCGTACCCAGGATTTCCGCTCGGGGGGGGCGCGACAAAAAAATTTTTCAAATGAAGGTGCGTGGCGCTAACCACGCACTCCGAAAAAATTTTAGGGGTGCTTCTCAAACTTTTTGCGGGTCCCCAACCCCGAAAATCCGGAAAAAGGGGGCGTGGCGTCAGCCACGCCCCCGAAAAAAATTTTTTACAGGGCTAATTTGAATTTTTAAAAATTTTTAAAAATTATTTTAATTATTTACAAAAATAAACAAGTCACTTGCACATTTTAATAACCCATATAAGCAACTTTCAAAAATTTGGCGACCCATTCTCGGGGGGGGCGCGCGCCCCCCCCGCCCCCCCCCCTCGGTACGCCACTGCTGCACACATATACACTGTAATTGTCAAAAATGTGTAGGCATGCATTTGGCAGCCCCAGAAAATTTTCTTCTCGTATAGGATTCTAGAAATTTTTTTGATGTCGCATGGCAGCCATTACACAGAATTCGCAATCTATCCAAATGTTTCTGAGGACAAGCAAGTTACTTCCCCTATCTTCCTTCAATCTGCTACTGACAACCACTTTTAGGATTGGTTCCCTTGCTCTTCCGCGTACATGATTTATCGTACATGTCTTTTTTTGTTAAATCAAGGCTTCCACATCTAATCATTTGATTTATCTGTTGGCCAACATTGGCTTTATACTGATGCTTTCGGGTTCTCGGCATTATTGTTTGCCTTTGCCCCTCTTTAGCGAATTAGATCAACTCCGATCCGATCCGAATCCTTCGATATCTCCGGATGTTCCGTAGTTACGAGTATTTATGAAGTTCTTGATATACATTCTTTGAGGATATATATATATATATATACATTCTTTGAGGATATATCGTCTATGTGATGGAACCCGTGCATTGGAGGATCTTGCTGTCATCTATGACATGATGCCCGACGAATTACACTACAAGTTAATTGAAAGTGGAAAGTTCAAGTTTATTAGTAAGTAGCATTTCGATATCTGTTGTAAAACCAACCCTTCCTATCATTTTTTTTTGTTCCTGGTGACTATCACATTTTCTTGTATTGTGACAGATTTCTTCTGAGCTATTTATCATATTTATTTAATCACATTTTTAGTTCAAGTTAGTACCTCCAGTGGAATACCTTAGGTTTAAAAAGCATTTCTTGTTTGATAGGCAGATTTGCAACGTCAAATCTGACCTGAAGCAGCTTTATGTAACGTATTGTTAGTAGCTGTTCTTCACATGTATCATGTGATCTGTGATATTCCCAACTCCTCTGTTTTCAAATCGAGGTACAATTTTCGCCCATTCGATGTTCACTGCTTGATTTTAAGGAGTTCATTATTACTGTAAGACGGGCTGTGAATCGCGCTCTGTGTATGTTTGTCAAATATGAGTCAATTGTTAGTACTTTTTTAAGTGCTCACTTATTATTTTCATGCGGTGCATGGAAGTTTCTTTTGTTGTGATTGTTACATCACGTTCAAGAAACAAAAGAAAAACGTTTGTGATCTTGTTTGTGAAATACTGTTCCTCGTGCTTTAACATCAGAATATTATAGACACCTTATATCAAAAACAGTTGAACATTACAAGATAATTGACAGAGGTGAACTTTTCTATTTGTATGGAAGATTACTTATTCTGAAAATAAATCAACAACGAAACTTCTAGTCCGATAGGTTCGTCTGCTGTCAGATCTTTTCAATCGAGTGAGATTTTAGGCCACCCAAATTTGGACATTCAAACTCTCATAACTTTTTTCGAAAAATTGTTCCGCACAAATGGAAAGCAGATTTGGAATCAGCGTTTGAAGGCGCGTCTGTTGATATACATCTCATCTTCAATCGCCGACTAATGTTGGTATCCTTCCCTTGTTAGGATCAGCATCTTTAATCATCGATCATTCGACTATTCTTGGGTGCAAATATGCCGTGAGAAACTATAAATTCAGAGCAACGTATGTGGGACGGCCGTGCATGACTGCGCCCTTGCATGATAAAGGCTGTGTAGTGACGATTGCCTTGATGCATGCACAGCTTATGTCAATTGCGTTCCCTCTTCCTTCGGCGCAATCGCCACCGCGAGCTTCGCGTCATGTTCGCGCACATGACTGAGACCAGGACCCGGCACGAGTCGGTTTCTAGGGTTTCTGAAAACAAAGTCTCCTATGACTTTCGGAAGTTTTACGAAGTCCCCTTTGACCTATTTGCTTAGGAGAAGATGAAAACAAGAAAGAGATTACTAGTCTGAAAGATAAAACATAAGATAAGAGTGAAAATCCAAATTGGAGCTGAGTATTACGCATGCACAAGAGTTTGGGATTGGAGCGCGATATTTTACAAAGCGATATATGAGAAAATGAAGGCAAAAAACAAAGGAAAGGCAATGATATGAAAACGTTTTCATGCTCAGGGGTAGATTTTTGAACGGGGAATCCGTCCATGATAGAAAAATCTAAAACTTATGTGAAGTGACAGAAATATATGCTCCAGACGATCTCAGATCGTCTGGTGGCCGTCTGGAGACGATCTAATTTTGGAAAACGTATTATTTCACATAAGTTTTCAAACCTTTTTACATAATTCTTTTGCAAATAATTTTTAATGTATACAGTACAATTTTGGTGTCATATGACTCTGTGTGCACTGTAAACAAGCAATTCGTTTATTTAAGCCTTGCTTTCAAATTGCGCGCACTTTTCGCCATACACGATAGAGCATGTCAATCGTGTGATAACCTGTCTGAAAAGCTTGTATTCGACTAAATGGCGCTTATTCTTGGGGCTGGGCCCCGAATCGTCAAAAACGATATCTCCTTTGCTTTTTGCTCTAAAAACGAAGTCCAGCCTGCTTCTAGACGATCTATGCCGGGCCCTGACTGAGACGCTCAAACTGGCCTCACTGATTTGAGGCCAGATTTGAGGCTGATTCGCAAGCAAGGTCCTCGCGCTGGGGATGCGTAGTTTCTACGTACTATGAACGCACAATCGTTGCATAGCAGCCACTCGTTCGCACCGCGAGGGCGAACGCGGCGACCCCGATCGATGAGGCGGGTTTTGATTGCGCAGCTATACGCCGGCGAACGCATCGCGAGGGTCTGGGGTTGCGATTTGGCTGATGGAAAAGAGAACACAAGGTTGACATGTACCTGTGTGATATACTGAAGATGAAATCGAGCTTGATCCAGCTAGACCTGCTGGGGGGTACACGTCACGTCCATGCAGGGTAACCCTTGATTCAACTGCTTTGTGGTCTAATTAAGGCCGCTCGCGCCCGCGACAATTCTGCGTCTTTCTCGCGCGCGTGCTCTCTGATCATTATCTAGCCTCATCTAGGTCACGAAGCCCCGCCTTTCAGGAGCCAAGCCAGTTGATTCAAAGGGTATGTAAAGGGGTTTGTAAAATTAGCATTTCTCAATGGAGGAGAAAGGATAAGTCACCAGAGTGTGCCTGCAACTTTGGCCGTTCCCAGCTTTGTGCAGCGGTAACAGCATATTAGTTTCTTATTTCCTTCTAGATGCCCTTTTGATGAAGTTGTATCAGTAACTAAATGTTACGACTAGTACTTGGACCTTTCTGCCATGCCTGTTCCCAAATAAGACTTGACGACATGTAAACCAATTTGTTCTGAGTTGAACTTCGGATATAAGCGGTAGTTTCTTATTCGCACCATATTGTTAGGCATGGAGTTTTGGTGTATCTACTAGGGGCTGTGTAACAACGACTGTCCAATGCAGGGATTCACATCATCACATGCGAGCGGTCTTGGGTCGTTTCCAGCTCTGCTGTGTCGTGTAGCGCTCGAAACACATGCTCCTTGGAGGCAGTGGCTCGGCAGAATGGCAACTTTGGGATATTCATCGTTCTTGATTCCCTTGGATGAGCTGAGTCGGAAACTGTGCTTTGCAGCTTTTAAAAATAACAATAACTTGCTTCCGCGGACGTCAAAAGTGCTGTTTGGGTGAGTCGCGAAGGTGGCTGCTGAAGCCAAAAATGTAATTGCCGCCGAGATGGGTACGGTGTCTCCACTCACGAGCCAATCGGGCTTCTAGAGGGCAGGCTTACGCGGTCCGCCCAAATAGCACTTTTCACGTCTGAAGAAGCGGGTTATTGATATCTTTTGAAGCTGCAAAGCACAGTTTTGGACTTAGCTCATCCAGGAGAACCGAGAACGATGAAAACCCCAAAGTTGTCAATCTGCCGAGCCGCTGCCTTCAAATTTTGATATTTTCAAAAGTGGATTAAGGATGGCCGAGTTTTGTTTCGTTTTGTTTTATGTTTTTTTTTCGAGCACACCTTTTCATTGTTTACAACTCGCTTGCTTCGATGTCTTTTGTCGACCTTCCGGGTTCAACTTAGATTTACAGTAAAACTAACTTCCGGTCTTTTTTCGTTACTGTGGGATCACGGTTGGAGCTTTTAGCATACAACGCCATTGTCAATTAGACCGTTTGATAGAAAAATTCCAGAAAAAAGAAAGAGAAAATCCTGCAGCAGGGTTTTAAGCATGCTGATCTCATTATGCAACTGTTTACAAAATTTCTAGTTTAGAGGATGAACACATTTTTGAAGAGCACTAAAAGAGCAGTTGTTAGTGTTTTTCCGAAATAACTTAGGAAGGACGCACGACCGTGTTGTGCAAATTTCATATCTGAAATCAGCGACTCTCATTAGCCTAGTATGAGAGTTTTTGGCTTTCTTCCTGAGGCAAAATACGACTCTTAGCGGCTTGAAACCCTCTTACCAGTTTCCACCGTAATCCCACAATAACGAAGAAAGATTGGAAATTCTCCATAATGTAAATCAAAGTTGGAGCAGCTCTATAGAATGGTACGTAGAGTCGGCAAAAGACATCGAAGCAGAAGCGAGTTAACAACGATTTAAGGGTGCCTTCATACCGCGCCCGCAGCCGCCGCTAGCAGCCCGTAGGAGCCGCCAGCAGCCCGTAGCAGCCCGTAGCAGTTCGTAGCCGCCGTTGGCCGCTTTTGTTATCATACGCAGAATCATCAGATTACTACTGATTTGATTGTACTATGCCTTTCATCCTCCACGTTTTTTTCTTCCTTTTGCCGCCAGTACGCAGTTCTAAAAAATCAGATAAATAGCAACTGGACGCATTCAAAGTTGTAAGAATTCACCCGCGAATGAATTCGGCGCACTTGAGAAGTAGTAGACTGCTTAGATAAGCACCGATAGCCAAGGAAAGATTGAAGCAGAACCATATTTAGAAATTAATATATAGCACAAACAGGAATTGGACGCATTAAAAATCAAAGGGAATCACCAAAACTTCGGCTGTTCTATGGTTCACTGCAGTAGAAAAATTGATCACCACTAAGATGACCAATCTACGGCAAAAAGATGGTGACAAAAATGGGCGCAAGTTTAGCAGTAGCAGCAACAGTGTCTAATTTTTGGGGTCGAAGTACATACAGTCCGCAACAGGGAGAAAAAACATGGAAGATCAAAAGCAAAGGCGTATACAATCAAATTAGTAAAAATTTGATAATTTTGCGTATGAGGACAAAAGCGGCCAACGGCGGCTACGGGCTGCTACGGGCTGCTGGCGGCTGCTACGGGCTGCTGTGGGCTGCTACGGGCTGCTAGCGGCGGCTGCGGGCGCGGTATGAAGGCTCCCTAACGGTATGCATATTATTTTGGACACCCTGTATAGATAGTTCATCGCACGGAGAGACTGGACGCTATAGCGTTTGATCCAGATATTTCGTAATTAAGAGAGGCATCAGGCGATTTTTGGAGAAATGAGAGTGCGCTTATTCTGAAGGGCGCCGACATCCACAGCTGCGGTAATGAACCGCTTATACTTTCTTGCACTCCGAGCCTTCACATCTCAAGTTTTGGTGCTTTATAGCCTTGTGGAGGAGGCGGATATGGTTTTTTACAGATGGCCCCACACAAAAATTCATTCACCACTATGATTCTTATATCTTCTAAAAATTCATTGCTGATGCGATTCGATATTGTTCTGTTACAAGCGTTGAATTTCATCGCCATTTTGTAGTAAAAGGCCTTTTTTAAGGAAAAAAATGTGTTAAACATCCTAAGAGACTCACAAAAATTGCCGCACAGTTGATTCGCTAAATTGAATTCTACAGGGTGTCCTAAAAAAATGTGCACACTGTTTGAATGTTAATAACTCTCTTATTATGAGGTCTTTCGAGAAGCGGTAAGCGCCATTTTGTGGAGTTGGCTTCAGCTTAGATTTACAGTATAGAGCCAATCACCGACCGCTCTTCATTACTGTAGGATTACGGTAGAAACTTGGAACATATGGTGTCACTGTGGAAAAAGCTGCCGTTTCAAAATTTTTTAAAAAGGTGTGAAAACTTGTGTAGTGGGGTTTTTAGGGACGCTGAGTTCAATACTCAACTATTCTCAAGATTGCGAAGCTTTCTAAGCGGTGTAACTGCACTTTTTAGGAATATTGAGAAAATGGCCGCTACTGCTACCTCGCATAACTCTTCAGTGAGGCATCATAATAAGTTGGATACTTAACAGTTATAATCAGCAACTCTAATAGGCCTAGTGTAAAAGTTTTCAGGCTGTTTTGATCCCTTTCTGAGGCAAAATATGGCCTTTCATTGCCCAAAACTCTCTTTCAAGTTTCTACCGTAATCCTACAGTAACGGAGAAAGATGGACGATTCGCTTTATACTGTAAATCTAAGTTGAAGCCAGCTCTACAAAATGGCGCTTACCGCTTCTCGAAAGACCTCATAATAAGAGAGTTATTAACAATCAAACAGTGTGCACATTATTTTGGAACACCCTGTATTTAATTGCCTACTGAGCCATATCGAGGAATAGACGCCTGAATTCTAGAAACTTGCCATTTCGATCAATATCATCTAGATCACATGTATAACACACGACTGGATTCGCTCTTTTCGAGTTTCAATACTACATTCATCCTAAGGCGGACAATTCTGACAAGTTCTAATTTGTACAGTCGGTTTCATCCCGGATTAGGCGAGACATTCTATCGTCGACTCTAAAAATCGTGACGACGGTCTGCAGTGCGGCCAGTGCGCGCCGCACGGCACTGCCGCTTTATCGTAGGGCAATCTTGCTTTTCAGCAGCGTAGGCTCCCTGCGGTAGCAATGAAAGTTCCTGCAAGCAAAAAAGATGCAAAAAGAAAAAGAAAAACCACAAGAACTCACCTTCTCCACGTAATTTGGGCGAATCACTAGACGGCAGTGCCGTGCGGCGCGCACTGGCCGCACTGCAGACCGTCGTCACGATTTTTAGAGTCGACGATACGTGGAGCAGCGCATGCACATCGCTGGAGGCTTCGCGAGCGCATAGCGCTGGCATTTTGCCAAGCAAAGACTAAGGAGATTGAAGAGACACAGACATGGGTTCTCAGCACGGCAGGATTTACTGTAGCTGCGAAACGGCGCGAGCTGTTGCGAGGCGGACTCCCGCCAGTCCAATTTCCGCCTAAAGCGGGTCGAAACTTACTGTATTTATTGTTTGGTGCAAAATCATTCTCAGCTCAATGAACAATCTGAGATAGAATGCAAATGTCTTTGTTTGCATGATTTGCATTGATCCAAAGACATGATCTGCCACCGCGAGCCACGGAAATCGTCACGTATAAATGTAAGGATGTAAGGAAAGCAATATCTCAGAATATAGTTTTGTTGGCCTCCTTTGACACTTTCAGTTCTGCTTATCCAGCTATAGCTTGCTGCGTGATCCCCCCCCCCCCCCTGGAAACAGTTTTCTTTTCCAATCTGAAAATCAAGTCACGAGCACTTGTAACTTCTGGCTTGAGGTGACAAGGATGGAAAGACATTGATTACAATTTATTGTATCATCGTCTTTTGCTATAATCCTACTTGTACTTCTTGTGAGCTATAATGATGAGAATTTATTATTTCCAGAGAAGCTCGAAGTTTAACCGCGAACAATGTCGAAGATGATGTGTTGTGGATAGCCAAAAGTTCATAATCCTGTTGGAGCGGTACGAACTCCCTGAAACAATAAATAACTATTTTAGTGAGTTTTGTTAACCTTCACCAAGGATGCTTTTTTCCCGAATATCTATAGTCTCTAGACTGGATGTGTGCTACCATATGAGCAGTTGAGAAAATGACGAGCTTATAATCTGACAATCAGATATGGGCCAGCTATTAGGTTGTTGCAGAAATATCTTCCGAACAACCTTTTTTCATTAAACACTTTTCTTCATATCAACGGAAAGCTCTCTTCGCGTACTTTCTAACAGTGGTGGAATGAAGCTTTTTTCTTATCTGTGAGAATTTCACCAACAGAATTTTGCACTTCCGCACTCAGAGTCGGAATTTCATTGCTTTAGCTTTCTTGGCCACGATTCAGTCGCATATCAACGAATCCTTTTGAAAACACAGACACCTGTATGGTATGGATGTTGCTTACCCATTGCATGCTTAGGTAAAAAATTTCAGAATATCAGGACTTAGAAATCGTTGCCTCAGTATAAATCTCGCTGCTGAATTCTATGAAGCAAAAAAAATTTTCTGATGAAAGAATCGTCGAAGGTTAGTTCATTTTGTAAGTTTAGGACTAAGACAACATGCATACAAATTTTGCAGAAAAACTTAGCTATTCAGTGCGTGAAGAATTCAAAATTTCCAAAGTTTGGAACTTTCAGGCATACCACAGACAATTTCAAAAAGTGAACAACTTTGGATTTTTATCTCTTCTTTTCGCGGAACTTTTTCGTTGGAGTCTTTCCATGAGTACTATATTTCTGGCTGACGGCTACAAAATAAGCTGATTAGCAGCTATAGGAATAAAACTTGAAGGAAATTGTAACCTCTCAAAGATGAGGTTTTTAGAAGAAAAACTTTCAGTTTTTCGTCGCATATTTTACTTCCCGTTTGCGATATCAGTATTAGCAGATGCGCGCTAGATTACGGAAGGTTTACTGCTTCTGGTTATCTTGTTTGTATAAAATAATATGAAGACTGGACAAAGTTATAGCTTTTCAAAGTAGAACGCTACAAACCGGACATTCTTTAACAGCCTAATAGCAATTTTTGAGTGCATATTTCTGTTCATAGCTCACAAATTCTTTTTTTTGCTGGGGCTATCAAAAACGGCGATCATTTTGTTACAGCCTTGATAGGCGATAACAGACCTTTGGTCAGTGTTGCGACCTTGCGCTATCGACCAGCTCATTTCATTGCATCCCTACTCTTCTTTCGCACTAGCAAAAAAACTTTTTCTTGCATCTGTGGTCTTCTACCTGCTGAAATTAGTTTTCTATTCAGGTGATGTCAGATTTCAAACCGATCCTTTTTTCCTACTGGCGAAGTTCGTGCGCTTGGCGGGTTCGGATTGGTAAATTGATTTTGTTTTCTGATCTTTGTGCTACCCACAAAATTATCAATTTTTAGCTCTGAACCTCAAAAAGGTCGACTATGACTACAGAACCGTCAACTTGTTGTCCAAAGAAGACATGGTATAAAGATCCGCTTTTGAGAATTTATCGACCTAGTTTTGTCATTTTAGACTTCACCTGAATTTTTAAAAGTGAATCCTGCCGCAAAAGTGCCAGCACTTATTGTAAATGGCGTTTCGTTGACGGAAAGTATGGCAATCATGGAATTCTTGGATGAAGTCTACCCTGATCGTTTCCCTCTTCTTCCTAAGGATCCAATAGAACGAGCTCATTGCAGAGCTACCGCTTTGCAGGTTAGACTTGATTATCAAAAAAAAAATTTATAAGTAGATGCTTCAGCCATCCGCTTGCGCGTAAAATATGACTTTGTCCTTTGACAAATCGCTGCTGATTTTGATCCATATACTTTCAACTAGATGTGGGTATGTCACACCTTTAAAATGCATTCATGGAAAAATTCCCACTTTTACGCCCGAACATCATCATCAACAAACGGAAATATTATAGTTCGATTTACAGAAAATCTATTAGGTTAAAAAAGTTCGTCCACCAAAAAATCGCAACATTATTCTGTCGTAACGGTTTTGCTTGACTCAAATCACATTAGAAAGCGCAAGGCACGTGCTTTCTAAGAATGGCTTGGAAACTTTCCAAAGAAAATGAAAAAAGGAAATCATCCGAAGTCCGGCAATTTCAAGCACGCCTGTTAAAAAATTTTAAGACTGCAGTATCCAAAATAGTCAGACCCTACTTTTTCTGATCTTCTTTTTTTGAATGAGCAAAGTTTGCGCTAACCAAGTTTTACTATGAAAAATCATGATTTTCGACACCAATGCCAAAAAATCAGTTTTCTCGTCTTCTGCGTTTTTTGGCAGTTTTCTCGAAAATCTTGAAAAGGTTGATTAGCACAAACATCGCACAAGAAAGAGAAGGTCTTAAAATCAAATATCGGCTGTTGCGGATTTTTTCGCATTCGGTCATTTTGAGTTAGGCCACTAAAAATCTGAAATTTGCGATAAAATTTGGAGCAAGCAGTGTGGTAAGTTTTATGACGGTGCGGAGTTTATGCTAAAAGAGTATTCTGTGAAGGGTTTTGATTTTTGGGGAAGCAATGCAAGGCATCAAGTTTGATTTTTTGACATTTCTTTGGAAAATCTGTTCTCGTAGAAGTGCTCATTTGACACATTCTCTACACTTTTGGAAACTTTGGATCGAAGTAGCTACTATACTCCTTGCTCGAAATTTTATCGCAGATTTCAGATTTTTAGCGGCCCAACGCAAAATGACCGAAGTTGAAGTTATTTTGTTCTTCTCCTCCTATCTCAGAAGCCACCCTCTTTAGTGAGCATCAAAGTAAAGGACCCTTCACATGAGAAGAATTCGTGAATATCACCATGACTCTGTTAATCCAAAATTTATGCTGTTTGCGAGGTTTTTCGAAAAGTAAAAATTGCATAATGCTAGATAATCAAAGTTGTCAGTACTGGACGAGTTGCCCTATGCTGCCTAGCAGAATTAATACAATGTGAAAGTGTTTTTATTCAAAAAGACAGACTCTGAATTAGCGTTTGTTTCTATACAAGTACGCTTTCACTGTAATATGACGTTACATTTTTTTTTGCACAAAAGGTTGTCGTTTATCTCAACCGTACTGGAACAGAAGAGAGTTGCAAAGTGAATGATAACGAAGTTTTGCTCATAAAACGGCGTAACTCCATACTTGGCAAATATGAAAACTGGATCAAGTTGCAAGCATGCTCCATCCGGTAAGGTTACATCTAGTATCTGAAGTTTTTTCTGTGGCATCATGAAGTGATGCAAATCGCATTTGTTCCATTAATTTCATCTCCAAGCATTAAAAAAGTACCATATTTATATTAGTTGCTTAGTTTTCGCTGATCTCTTGTTATGTGCTTTTTCATTGGAGGTGTGACAATAGAGGAAATTTGAAACCAGCTGAGTCTTTTGATTATCACCGTGCTCTTGGTAGTCTGTTAGAGAAGTTTGATATCCTAGAAGGTGTGGCGCATGACTGTACTCCACTCAAAAACATGTTTTTCTTGAGAGATTGAAGCTTGTCAATCCTGGCGTCCGAGTCTGAGTCACAACTCAAATTTTACAATAATTTCTTCAGTTTAAATGCACTTTCTGATGCGATCGCCACCGCAAAGTTTTTTCGAGATTCCTTCGAGAAAATGTTTTTCACAGAGGGTAAGGCTTTGAAAGGTTTCGAATAGCACGCTCCATACCTTAGGAACTTTAAGAAGGAGAGTTGCAGAACTTTTTCGGAAACATAATATTGTACAAAGTAAAAATTCTGGCTATGTCAGTAGTAGGGAACTGAACTAAAGATTTCGAAAAATAATGAACATCATCTTTTGCAACCTGAACTGTTCATTGTACATTGTACTGTGAAAATTCGTGACTTTAGAGAAATTGAAAATTGGAAAACAAGACCAGTACTTCAGAAACTACCACGGTTCAAGCATTCATGCATTTATGGAGACTGAAAAAAAAAGATTCAAAGTGCTGAAAGGTTCTGTCGCATCAGCAAAAAATTATTCACTCGGAGAAAACAATAGATTACAGACAATAATAATAACTACTATAGACAATAATAATACATACATACATACAATAATAATAATACAGACACTATTTAGATTGTGGCCAACATTCAACCGATACAGAACACGCGCATTCTGAAGTACTTGAACGAAGAAACCCCTGGATCGGGTGCCAAGGTCAGAAACACTTCTTAATTTTGTGTTTACACCTTTTCAAGCATTTATCATCCTCCATTTTTTTCCAGTGGGCAAAGCATTGGCTCACCGATGGTCTACGCGATTTGGAAGCATTGGTGTCGCGTACTGCTGGAACTTATGCTGTTGGCGAAAAGATTAGCATAGCTGATCTTTGCATACCGTCGATTATGTACAACGCTAAGAGGTTACAAATTTTTTTTGGTATTTGTTTTTACTCTAGAACAACTTTTTTTTGCAGGTGGGGAGTCGATACTAGCGCCTTTCCAACTCTCAGCAAAATCGACGCTACGCTTGCAAAAATTCCGGAATTCGAAGCGGCTCACCCCGACAAGCAACCTGATGCAAATTTGAACGCTTGAGCTACTGTGATCACTTTATTAGGTTTTGTATGCTCAATCTGCGTTCAGAGTTGCGCGCGTGCCAGCGCCCGTTCCAAAGCCGTGCCGGCGCCGTGCCGTAACTCACGTAGACATCTGCGTGTAGATTTATCAATCTCATCGGCGCAATTCCGGCACGGGCCTAGAGCAACTCTGAACGCAGTTCAACTTATAGAAATATAATATAGCTTGCACAAAGTTAACATAACTTGATACACTTCCACATTTAAACATTTGAGATTTGTGATTCTTTCACTCAACACTTTGTAATCTAGATAAATCATTGCTAGTCTCTTCAAAGTCTTTTTCGTGATGATTCAACGTAAACGCGTATGTTTATCGTGTCCGCGATGTATCCGTGTGCATAGAGTGCGATAGGGGGAGCAGGGTCCTCTCCAGGTGAAGGGGTTTTGACTATTCCCGACTTAGAAAAGTAAAGGGAGCACAAGACATGTTTTTTCTAACAGTGGCTTGGATGCGTTCCATGAAACTCAGAGTGCAGAGAAGTAAACGAAAGATGGAGATCATCTGAAGTCCGGCGATTTCAAGCACGCCTGTTAAAAAATTAAAAATTCGGCGATGAATTCCAGAATAGTCGCTACCCTACTTTTCCTGGTCTTCTTTTTCTAAATGAGCAATATTTATGCTAATTAAGCTTTACCATGAAAATATGATTTTCGATATAAATGCCAAAAAATCAATTTTTCCGTCTTCTGCGTTTTTTGGCAGTTTTCTCGAAAAGCTTTCTGGGAAGGTTCGATTAGCGCAAACTTTGCACAGTCAGAAAGAGGAGGTCTTAAAATCGAAGACCAATTTTTGTGGATTTTCTTGCCCTCTGCAGTCAGAACTTGGTAGGGAACATGCAAGGTACATTCAGAAAACAGGTATCTTTTGGTATCGTTACTACCACTATTACAGAAAGATGTTACGATTTTTTGAAAATAGTGCGAAAAAACTTATGGTTCAACCTAATATTTGGTCCATTGCTAAGAGGACTCTTTACGCACTCTTTACCCATAGTGGTTGATGGTAGAAATAAACTCGTGAAACTCACCATGACTCTGCTAATTGAAATTTCATGTTGTCTGCGAGCTTTTTTGAAGTATAAATCTCATAAATTTATGATTAAGGTTGACAGTATCGGACGAGCTGTCTGTTTTATGCTGCTTAACATCATCAAGGCAATCTGGAAAAATCAGAAATATAGATTCTGAATTGGCCTTGAGGTGCATCTAATCTAAGTACGTCATTCGACTGTAACTTGTTTGCTCCTTATAAATTGGCATAACTTTTTACTTGGTTGAATATTTTAAAAATGTATCAAGCTGCAAGCATACTCCATCCAGTAAGGTAATATTGTCATCTCGAGTTGTCTCTTTTTCTGTGCAAGCACCATAGATGATGAAAATCGCATTCGTTTCAATAATTTCATCTACAAGCGTTAATATACGAGATTTATATTTTTGCTTAACTCTTGCTGATCTATTGTAATATGCCTTTTCATGGGAGATGTGGAAACATTGGAAAGTGAAAGAAAAAATCAGCTGAGTTTATCACCAATGTTCTTGAAAATTTATTCGAGAAGTTTGATATTTTAGAAGGTGTGGCGTATGACTGTCCACTTAAAAACATGTTTTTCTTGAGAGATTGAAGCTTGTCAATCTTGATGTTCAACTATGAGTCACAACTCAAATCTTACAATAATTTGTTCAGTGGTGCACTTTTTGTTGCACGATCACCATCAGAAAGTTTTTGGGATTTCTTGGAGAAAGTATTTTTCACGGAGAGTAAGGGTTTCGTAAGATTTGAACAGGACAAATAGCTCTGCTCTATATCTTATGAGCTTCGAGAAGAGAGCTCAGCACTTTACTGGAAATATATTGTGCAACGTAAGAATTTTGCTATTTCAGTAGTAAGGAACAGGACCAAAGATTTTAAAAAATAATGAACACCATCTTTTGCAATTTTTGTAGATTGTTCATTGGTCATCGTACTGTGAAAATTCGTGACTAGCTAGAGAAATCGAAAAAGTAAGAAAATAAGTCCAATTCTCCAGAAACTATACGCCTAAAACATTCATGCGTTCATGAAAGCTCTGAAAAGATGGTCCAACTTCGGCTGTTTAATAATCTTGACGTTGTAATATAACAATTCATTTGTAACTTGATATGTGAGATTGCACACCAAGCCCTATTAGCGACGGCACCCACACTAGTAACCTCCCAGTAAAACATATTCTAGCTTAGCAAAGTGTAGAAATGTGTTCTACAGGCTAACATATAACCAACTAAAACAAAAGAAACAAGGAAACAAGGAAAAATTACTGGGAATAAGCAGGTTCTAGTTTCGCAGATCGTCAGTTAGTGTGTATAGTGTGAACTACGCATATTAATTTACAAATGACTCGACGATATGTATTGCTGTGTAGCTCTGAAAAAAGTAGGGGATTAAAAGGTTCTGTCGCACCAGCAAAGAATTGTCCACTCGGATTCATTCATCCAGCTTAAAAAAAAACTTTTCTCGATGACATTGTTTAGATTGTGGCCAACATTCAGCCGATACAGAATATGCGCATTCTGAAGTACTTGAACGAAGAAACTCCTGGATCTGGTGCCAAGGTCAGAACTACACCCTATTTCTGTTCCTACGTTCAAATATTTTTCATGCTTAATTTTTTTCCAGTAGGCAAAGCATTGGCTCAACGATGCTCTACGCGATTTGGAAGCGTTGGTGTCGCGTAGTGCTGGAACTTGTGCTATTGGCGAAAAGATTAGCATAGCTGATCTTTGCATACCGTCGATTATGTACAACGCTAAGAGGTTACAAGTTTTCTTTGGTATTTGTTTCTACTCTGGATCAACTTTTTTTTACGGATGGGGAGATACTAGCGCCTTTCCAATTCTTAGCAAGATTGACGCTACACTTGCGAAAATTCCGGAATTCGAAGCGGCTCACCCCGACAAGCAGCCTGATGCAAATTGGAACGCTTGCGAGCTATTTGAATCACTATAATAGTAGGTTATGTATGCTTGAGCTGAGTTCAGAGGCGCGTGTGCCACCGCCCGTTCCAACGCCGTGCCAGCACCGTACCGGAACTCACGTAGACACTTTGCGTATATGTAGATCGATCGACCTCATCGGTGCAATTCGGGCATGGGGCTGGCATGGGCAACCGCAGCACAAATTGTAAAACACGTTATATAGTCGAGTTCAGTCAAAAATGATTATCGATAGTTTACAAGACTTCACTTCAAATTTCTACTTCACTCTTTGCTCAACACTTTGTAATTCACCAAATCATTGTTCGTCTCTTCAAAGTCTTTTTCGTGATGATTTAACGTAAACGCAGTATTTATCGTGTTCGCGATGTATCCGTGAGTCATTTAGCGCAAAAGTGAACTGTCCTCGCTCTCTCTAGTCTTGCTAACTGGTTTCTTTATAAAAGTTCAACTGCTGCGATGCAACGCGATTGGTACAGTGTGGTGCGATCTGTTTTCTGAAGTGAATTGCTTAAATTCTTTCGCTGATGTCATCGTCGCATTGCAAATGTCATGCTATTCTCGCGTATTCTCAAGGCAAAACGTCCTTGGGTTTGAACTTCGAGAACTAAAGGTAGCTTACATACTCATTTCTTCAAATCTTGATCTATTAATTTGCCAACCTGCAAATCTAGCTGTGTACCTTATCGCCAAGCGCAATTTTTATATGCCTAAATCCCTCTTTTTGTGCGTCCGAGCGTTCCAAATGCATTGAACTTTATAAATATTTGCATATGAGTCATGTTTCATGTTTGCACGATAACACGAGGCTTCTTCTTTTCTTCTTTGAAACACGGAAAACACACTTTCTTCATCTGTTCATTTATAATCTATTCTTACTAAGTCATCAATTTGTTTGAATATCGTTTTGCTTTCATGAATGGTTTGAGTGTGGTTTTGCAAATAGCAAATTATTTCCTCAGCTTTCCAAACTGGCACAACTGGTTAACTATTGGAATTAATGCACTTTCGCCATTTTTTTTCTGCAATTTATACTGTTCTTTTTATAATCTTCTCTTTGTGTATATATTTTTAATTAACATATGCTGCAGCGTATTGTCATGGAGCATGTTTTTTCGAATAACGATGTCAGTATTGGATTGATAAAGTATTTCGCAAAGTTTCTTGTGTGTTGTTACGGAGTTTTTCAGCTCATGATTATCTTTGGTCGCAGAATTGAGCACCTTGAACTCATACCTTGTGGGCATAGGATCCTCTTTCTATGTCTCATTCTATTATTTTTTATGCGTCAAATTGCAATTACGCATCCCTCATATGAGCACTCCAAGGATCAATCTCGACTAGGCACTCTTGCTTTCTCTTTATAGTTACATTTTCTTGAAGCTAAAAAGTGTGGCAATCCTTATGTTAAGATAATCATCCTGTAGCTTCTAAGCTGTTTCTGAGAAACCGCGCTTAATTCGTTAGTACTTACGTTTTAGAGCAACGTCGCTATCATCTTCTAGTATACAGATCCAGTAACAACGTCTTGTTTGAGACTGTTTCACAGGAATTCAAGCATTTGATGACCAATTCTTTGAAGTTACGTGAATAGGTGAAGGATGCGTGATTCGAAGTTCAAGCGAACACTGTGGTTCTATCTTTTCGTAGCTCGCTCGCATTCTCTTGCTCATCTTGTATAAAATCTCAAGTGACTGACTTTAGGAGTATAGGTATTCGAATGAGTGAATAACTGGAACGAGTCAGAAAACTCAAATGTTAGAACAAGCCAAAGTCTCTATAACAAGAAGGGGTCCAGTTCGAAAACAAAAACGGAGAAAAGGTTTATAGCACTGCTAGGCTTATGTCTCGTCTTTCATTGTCGTCGCAGAGGAGGTCCGCTGCAGTGCGAAAAAGACTTTTCTCTTAATATTAGAAAAAAAGGATCGGCTAGAATATCAGAGTCATTTGTAATACGCTAAAATCTCATAAATAAGTCTTCCCATCAGATAAGTCCGTCTACAGATAAGTCCGCCTTCAGATAGGTCCGCTTTTTTGAGTCCGTTTTTCTTCATTATAACTATTATGAAATCTTGTCAGTGAAGTCCGAAGACTGTCAGATAAGTCCGAACTTATTTGTAGGCAGACTTATCTGATGGGAGGACTTATCTGCAAGATTCGTGGCAGTGCGAGTATGCATTTTCCTCGATTTTTCTTGTCAAGGAAGCGGACTTATCTGTAAGATTTTAGGGTATTATCTGGGCTGCTCTGCTGCTAACGTGCTCCTTTGCGTTATTTTTCCTATAGTTTCAACTCTGGCGCTTACGACCTTGCTTTTCTTACCTACCTTCACCTACCTTCGTCTACAACTTTCTTTAATAGGTCCTACCCCACCGCTCTTCCCTCCCTCATCCACAATATTTCTTTTTTTTTACATCGGCGAGATCAGATCTATCAACAGTGGTCAAACTGGACAATTTAATGATATCATTCTATAACAGAAAAATAGCAACGTATTGATTAGCACTTTTTGCACCGGCCTTTGAATTCGTTGCGTGAGCCCGAATACCGTACCCCATTCCCTCTTCTCAGACATTCGTTTCGGATGAACAGCGCGCAAAAACAGCGATTCCTACGACCCGCGCCTGTCGAGCGTACGAGCGGCGCGACACAGTCGGATTTGAGTACGAGCGGCGCGCAATTTGGAGTGTGTCAGTACGAGCGGCGCGCAATTGACAAGCAGGACCAGCCGCGTGCCTTCAAACGTACAAGCGGCGTACCATAACATCCAAATTTCAGGATCAGCGGCGTTCCACAGCGTCCCCCCTATACGAGCGGCGCGTAATTCGGCGTGCACGAGTACGAGCGGCGCGCAGTTGACAAGCACTCAGATAATCGCCGGGGGCAGGCGGTCCGCAAACTCGCGCTTTTCTGCAGGCGGTCAGCAGGATTTTGGGGCGTGGCCAAACCTTCAGCGGGCGGTACTTCCGCGTTCTGCCAGCGGGCAGCAATACAGAATTTTCTGCGAGCGCTCGTCAAATAATATCTTCCAGCGAGCGCTGGCCAAACTTTCAGCAAGCGCTCGGACTCTTTTTAGGTATTTTCGGGCGTACGTCGAGCACAGGTAAGACTCTGTGTGGTAGAGGTGTCACCGTTGGTTTAATTACTCAAGTTTGAGGTACTTTCTACCAGCGGGAAGTACCTGTGAGTTGCGCGGTCCTCCACAAAGGACCGTGCGGCCCTCAAAAATTTTGCATCTTCTCGCGGAAAGTCCGCGAGAATGCGGCCACTGCGCCGCAGCTAATCCATAAAGAAACCGCGATTGTTCTTCAAGCAATCGTCTTTAATTTTGCCAACTTTCTTCCAAATTTCTGCAAGCGGGCCGCAAAAAATCAACGAACTATTTTTCCGGTGCGCGCTTGCTCAAAATTCGCAGGCCGCCTGCCCCCGGCGGTTATCTGAGCAGTACCGCCCGCGTGCCTTCAAACACACGAGCCGCGTACCACTAATTTAAGCTTCTGCAGCTTTTCAGGCAGGTCTACGTGTTCATGGCTACCATAGTCAAAAAAAGACGTTTAAGTTTGTGCGCAATCATTATTTATGCATTCTGTATGATTTTCACATTTTTTAATGCACAAAAACTATAGCGTAATTTTCACACGTTATAAGCGTAAAGGATACTTGCGTAAGGTACGACGCAGTGGTTAGGCTGCCCTAAATGCTAATTGACGTGAATATGTTTACAATATTTGCACGAGGACGTAGTCGCAAGGTAGTCCTGACAATTCGATAGCACCTTTGTGTCGTTCAATTTTGTAGCCGGACGTAGTCTCCGAAACCGCCATATAGGTGGCATTAACACAAAATTGTCATATCAGTGATTCAAGCACGAAATTACCGTACCAACGGCGCCGAAGTGACAGCGTATCAGCGGCGCGAAATTCGCGTATCACCCGAGCGCATTTAGCGGGCGTACGGCCATTGAGGAGTCCGCTCGCACGCAAATTTCGCGCGGCTCGTACGGAACGAATGTCAGAGTTGTGTTTGATGAAAAAAAAAAAGGCGACTGACGCGCATAAACTGCAGATGCAATGTAGTCTCCATGGTCTAGTGGCTAAGGGGTGCGACTCTCAGCTGCCAGACTCGGGTTCGATTCCCCACTCAGGAATTCCTTTTTGCCACTAACGCTGGCTCCAAAAAACAGCTGATTTCTCCACAGATCCTATTATATATAAAAAGAATCTGTGTCTCAAAATTCAAAGGTACCTCCTTTAAGGATATATTTCGCTCCCAAAATGAACGAAATATAAAAATGTAAAAGCATTTTCGCTTAAGAGCTTGTTGTCTTCTTATTATTGGTACCATTCTCTCCGACCCATCTTCACTGGTTCGTAAGTTATGAGCTCTCAAAGTTAACGTATCGGTTAAAAGCGCTGCTGCTTCTTGAACGATATCTTTCGTGGTTCTGATAACCACTCAGATAATCGCGGGGGGCAGGCGGCAATGCGAATTTTGAGCAAGTGGGCACCGGAAAAATAGTTCGCTGATTTCTTGCGGCCTGCTTGCAGAAATTTGGAGGAATGTTGACCACTTTTCAGATGAATGCTCGGAAAACTATCGCGGTTTTCCCACAGTTTAGTTGTGGCGCATTGACGGCATTCTCGCGAACTTTCCACGAATATGCAAAATTATTGAGGGCCGCGGGGTCCTTTGTGGAGATTTGCACAGCCCTCAGGTACTTTCCGCTAAGAGTACCTCAAACATTCGACAGTAAAGGAGGTGCCGCCCGCCGAAGGTTTGGCCACGCCCCAAAATTCTGCTGACCGCCTGCAAGAAAACGCGAGTTTGCGGACCGCCTGCCCCGGCGATTATCTGAGTACTTGCGGGGAAGTTCGAACGGTGCTATCCTTGTGTCCGCGGCCCAAAATTTCAAAGCCGTGAGTTTGGCTGAGATTTGGTCGATGGGGATCACAAATATTGCATTCTTTTTTCACAAAAACGCCACTTGGTGGGGCAACGGTGGGTATAAGTAGAAG